AAGGAGGGGAAATGGCTATGGGTATGGGTGCGAGTTGTCGGACCCTGGGAGAAGATCCCGTTCGAGCGGGGACCCCCATCCGACAACACGCACCCGTAGCCTCCTCCGTCCCCCCTATGGGTATGGGTGCGTGTTGTTCGATCGTCACAAGGGGGGGGGGGGACGAGCTCTTCCGAGGCCTCTGCGGCCGCCACGAGGCCCCCCAAAGGGGCCCAGAGAGCCGAAGCGGTGCGCCAAGATAGGCCAAGAGAGCGTCGAGACGGACCAGGGAAGCCCTACGACGGTCCAAGATGCCTTCGAGACGTAGGGGGCAAACAAACCTACCTCGCTTTTGACCACCCTCGCTTCCAAGAGATACCAAGCGATGCCAAACTACGGCCTGTACTGGTCAGGCCGCTTGACGAGGAGGCGCGTGGTACGACTTGGTTTTGTCTGGAAGCGAAAGCGGGGTAGGTAATTCACGCTCTGAAGACGGCTCACAAAGCGCCCCAAACGCCCCATGAGTGCTCCCACATGGCTGCCGTGAAGGCCCCACGAAGCAGACATCGCTCCAATCCCTAAGGCAACACGTATATCTCTAGCATACCCGTCTTCTGCGTCTCCAAGCAAAACATACATTTCAGAGCCCAAGACGGTCCCAAGACGGCCCACAAGGCCCCCAACAGACCACCAAGACTGCCCCAGAGAGCCTCAAGACGGCCGCAGGGGCCCTCTAGGACGGCCCAGGGGAGCCCCAAGAGAGCCCTGACAGGCGCCAGAGAAGGGGAATACAAACTGACATGTCGAGACTTTCTCCCAAAGATGGTCCTAGGAGCCCCCAGAGGCCCCGAAGAAGCTCCCACGAGACCTCGAAGAAGCCCCCCAGATGCCCCCAACTGCCCCCACGACACCAAAGAAAGAAAAACAATTCAATAGTTTCCGGAGCCTTCCGACACACCATGGCCCCACAAACCTCGAACGTCTCCATCAAGCTAGATTCCAACACGCGGAGGAGTCCTCGACGACGACCGAGATGGCCTCAAGACTGCCGAGAGGAAGCCCCAAGACGCAATGATTGTTCCACTTCCTCGGGAACACAATTGTTTGAGCATATGTGAGCATGTGCATTATTGGTCCTTACAGCGTCCATGACGGCTCAAGAGGTCCCCAAGAGGGCTCCAAGACGGCCCAGACAGCCCCCCCGAAACAGCCCAAGAGGCGCGCAAGATGGTCCAGGAAAGCCCCGGCAGGGCCCCAGAAGAAGCCCAAGAGAGGTAAGTCGAGCTAATCTTCCCAGCCCTCCGCCCCAAGAGGGCACCCCACGCCGCCAACGATACTCCAGATTTCGTAATAAAGGGAGGGGGGGTCTCATTTCGGGGGGGGTCTCTTCCAGGCTATCTTGGAGGGCCTGGGGGGGTCTGGGGACGATGTTTTGGAGGGTTCTCCCACGGGGGGGGGTCTGAAATGGCCTGTCTTGGAGGGTCCAGACCCCCTCCCTTTTATTTACGAAATCTGGAGTATTCAAACACCTCCCCAGAGCCCGGAGGCGCGCCCATGACGCCGACGAGAGGCCCCCCCCGAAGGCCTCAGACCCGTCCATCTCGGCCCTCCTCCGGGGGTCGGCGGACTGGCGCAAGCCTTCTGCAGATGTTCTGGCGTTCCAGGGGCTTCTGGAGGCCGCTGGAGGCAACAGCAAGAAAGAATCCCTCTCCGTTCCGCCTCCTCCTCCTCCTCCTCCTCCTCCTCCTCCTCCTCCTCCTCCTCCAAGACGAGGCCACGACGGGGACAACATCGGACCAGGAAGATCGGGAGTCGTCGAGATCCGATCCGTGCGGACGTAGGAGCTGCCGCGGGCGCCGCGCGGCCGTTCCCGAATGCTCCGTACCGCCCTGGGAGCGGTCTGGAATGACATACGGCAGGTCCGTGTCGTGTCGACCCCGGCGTTGGTTCCCGACACCGCGGGGATCGGTAAACCTTGAACGATCGGCCGTTCCCGAAACGTCCACGTCGTTCCACATCGAACGACTCTGGGTCCCCCGCGGCGTTCAACGTTCAACGCCGCTGGCGGGGTCGCCGCCGGTCGACACGACACGAACCTACCGTACATGCTAGTACTACCCATCGGTTGGAAGAAGCAGGTACAAACATGAAGTAGGAAGACGCTGAACGTAGATTGGGTTGCGTCCGCCCCCAATGTAGGAAGGCGCTCGAGACAGAATGGAACCTTGGAATCTAAACATACCTGCGTTCAACGACCGATGGCTGCTATGTGTCCTCCCTGGAGGCGCGCGTCCGCCCCGAAAGTATAGTGTATACCCATCCTGTGACGCCGATGGAACGCTCTGGAGCGACCCATCCCGGTCCTGGGCCCGCCCAATCCTCCCCTTCGCCCCCCCCGCCCTCGGAAGCCTTCGATGGCAACTCACGGGAGCCTCCCATACCATCTCGTCGGCTCTTGCGAATCGACGCTCGTCGACGCTGAACCGACGCTACATCGATACCAACTCGACGCTCATTGACGCCAAGTCGGCGCTAACTCATCGACTCCCAACCTCTCCTCGGCGCTAGTCGACGCTGAAGACGGAATTCAGTGAATATACCAGGCTCCCATGACTTGACCGAAAATGGGGAAACCAAAAGGTACCGCTACCGCTACTCCGCAGACCTCTCCCCGGGTGCGTTCTGGCCAGGATTTCGAGGCGAACCCAGCGGCTGCGGCGAGGGCCTCCCAGGAGGGCGAAAAAGGGGACAACGGGCGAGGGGGGAGAGGCATGGGTACCTTTTTCAGCAGGGACCGACAGTCCTGGCATTTCTAGAATCCTACCGCGAAATGTTCTTAGACCCCAAAAACGTTCTAAGATCAAAAACGATGTTCTTAGAACATAGACCCGATGTGATAAAACAGCACAATCTCACAGCCAGATATGTTCTAAGAACAGTTCGTGGACACCACAAAAAGCTCTTAGAACACTGCTTGGTGGGGCTATAGGCACGTCGGGACGCTTCGCCACTGTTTGACCTTTGCCTCCTCCGAGCAGACGCCTCTCCCCAGCACCGTCCTCGGGATGGCGCGATGGGCGAGGGGGTAGAGGTATGGGTACCTTTGCCTCCTCCGAGAAGACGCCTCTCCTTGGCGGTGCGCACAAGGGGGTGGAGGGAGGGGGGAGGGCTTTTTACGAGGCTGCTTCTTAGAAGGCGCCGGCCTTACATCTATAGATAAGGCCCACGCCTTCTAAGAAGCAGGTGTGCTTCCGAGAAGCCCTCCTCCCTCCCCCCACCCCCCTCTGCGCGTGGCCGATCTCCCCAGGACCGCCCTGGGCATGGCGCGCTCCGGCGAGCATTTTCCCGCGCGTGGGGCCGGCCGCAGTCTCCACCCCCGCTCGCGGGGCGCGGCGCCTGCTCTGCCCGGGGGCGCCCCCGCGCGCGCCGCCGCGGGGCCCCTTCTCCTTCGGGCGGCCTCCCCCACGGCTGGGGCCCGAGCAGAGGCGGCGCCGGAGCCTCGCGCCGCCTCGCAGATGCACGGGCGGTGCCTCGGCGACGTCGGCGCGGAGGAGCTCGGGCTCCACGCGGGCGGCTGCTCGCTGGGGGGCGGCCCGCACGTTCAGAGGCCCCTCTCGGGCACCCGCTGGCTCCCAAAGGGGCCCTACAGGGCAGGTTTTAACACATGGGCTTTTAAAACATAGAGGATTCAAATACATGATCACTGTATCAACAAATGTGTGCAGAAACTCACTGTTGTTTTTTTTATACTGCATCCCTGCACTTGTAACACATGATCCGCACGCGGAGCATGTATTAAAAACGGCACTGCACAGGGCACCCTTAGGGCCCTTGCCTTCCCCCCCCACGCGGGCCACCCCCCATCAGCGCCCGTCCGCTCCACACCGCGCCGCACCGCTGGTGCATCGGCGAGGCGGTGCGCTCCCCCGACCCCGCCAACCCTGAGATCCGCAACAGCGCGACAAAGCACGCCCGGAGCCCCGGACCCCGCCTGTCTGCGTCATTTGTCGAGCCGGCTCGACCTGTGAGGGCCTCGAGGAGCGACAGGGAGCGGAAACGCCCTGTGTGAAACAACGGCAGCGCCAGGATCTCAGGGCTCTGGGACCCCGTCTGGGAGGATCTCAGGGCTCTGGGACCCCGCCGTTCTGCGTCAGTTTTCGAGCTGGATCGACCTGTGAGGGCCTCGAGGAGCGACAGTGAGCGGAAACGCCCTGTGTGAAACAACGGCAGCGCCAGGATCTCCGGGCTCCGGGACCCCGTCTCCGGGAGGCCCAGGTCTCAGCGGCGCGCAGGAGCGGGGGTAGGGGGAGGGGGGAAGGCCTCTTAGAAGGGGGCTGCTTCTGAGAAGGCGCTGGCCGCACATGTACACTTTGCGAAATGCTTGAGAAATCATGGGTTGTTAAATTCAGTGTCTCAGAATTTGCATAGAAACCCAGAATTTCTATTGAAATCTTCGGATTTACATTGAAACATTAAGAATAATCGAGACTCTGGCCGAAAACTTAAGTTGTCTTAAGCATCGCCTAAGGTGTATAGAGAAGGCCCGCGCCTTCTAAGAAGCAGGGGTGCTTCTAAGAAGCCTTCCCCCCTCACCCCACCCCCCTCTGCGCGTGGCCGTAGGCCTGTGGTCTGGAGATCAGGGGCAACGATAGGGGGGAATGCGAACAGGGTGGGACGCATCGACCCCCCAACCGCCCATTGCTCGCCGATAGGCGCCCGACAGCCCCGAACTGCCCAGGATCGTGCGGATTCGCTCTCGGGGGTCTATCGCCGATCAGTCGGCGACGTATCGCCGATTCCAGCGCGATGTTCCCCCCCCTTATGCCAGTCCCCTCCCTTGAGGGGCCTATTTTCCACCACCACTACCATATGCAGGAGCGGGAGGAGGCGGAGGAGGAGGAGGAGGAGGAGGAGGAGGAGGAGAAGGAGGAGGAGGAGGACCTCCTCATCCTCCCTGCTCCCCATCCTACACACGGCAGCGCTGGTGGAACACTTGCCCATCATCCCTACCGTTGCCCCTCAGGAGGCCCTCGGCGGGAGCGGCACGCGCCGCCCATGGGGGGGGGGGCCGGGGCCGCGGGCACGGCGTCAGGCGCGCGGCGGCGGCGGCACCAGCGGGACCGCCCTGGCGGAGCTGGGGCCCAGCCGCGCCTGGGGGGCGGACGGAGGGGGGGCGCGGGGAGGGGGCGAGGGAATGGGGGAGGGGGGGGGGGGGGCGCGAGGAGGAGGGGGCGCGGGGGCGAGGGGGGAAGGAATGATGAGGGGGGGGGGGGGAAGGGCGGAAGAGGCGGGGGGGGGAGGGAAGGGGGAGGGGTAGGGCGAAGGGGAAGGGAGGAGGGGGGGAGGGGGAGGGAAGACGCGAGGGGGGGGAGTGGGGAGGGGAGGGAGTGTGGGGGGGGGAGGGGACTTGGAAGGCCAATGGACCTCGAAGAGTCTGAGGCCGGCCTGGGCCAGAAATCTCCCCCCCTCTTCCTGTCTCTGCCTCCGGAGGGCTGGGGAGCGCTGCTACGACGCCGAAGCCCTCTCGAGGAGGGTCCTCCCGCGCACCGTCCCTTCCCTTGTGCCGCCGCTCCCTGGCCATCGCTCGGACGTCCATTCCCTGTGTTTTTTGTCGGTTTGGTGCGCGGTTTTTTCGCCAAGTGATCAAGGATGCTCCTCGATGGTCCTCGCCGAAGGGAAAACGCACACGTCCGAGCGATGCCAAGTTCAGTGGAGGCCAGTCCACAAGGAACCGCCCACAAGAATCCCAACGCTGAGGCCTCAGGACGTCCATGGATTCTTGGCGTGGGAACGTCACTTGTTCCTTGATAAGACAATCGGTACCCAAGAAACCCAGGACACCCTAGAGGCAAACAGGGTGTGTCTTGGCATGGGTCTCCACTGTACGTCGGATCGGCGGTCGAAAGGAGCCGGATCGGCTGGCATCGGCGGGTCAGGTCGGGAGCAGTCGAAGCGACGGCAGACGGCGTGCTATGGAGGCCTCCATGGACCAGCCCGCGAGAATCAAGCCGTATCAGAAGGATGCGCGGTAAGGATGCACGGGCCTTGGAGGTCCATGTTACCGTTCTTAGAACGAGGTTGGCCAGCGAAAATCGCTGAGGATGGGCCGAAATGGGCAAGGATACGAGGGTACCCCTGGGAACGTTGCCCATCCTTACTATGCGGGCTGACTGAAAAATCCGAACATCTAAATCCGAGGTCGAATGGGGGATCCCAAAACCGTCGTGTGACAGACCGTGCAATGACCTCGGAACCCCACGAGGCCTCACCGCACGGTCCGTTGCCGCGCGGCCCTGGGATCCCGGAGGCCCCTCTCGCCCGAGACGTCCTCGGAGAGGGACTCGAATCCCCAAACCGTGCGGTGACCCCGAACCCCAAGCGACTCACCACAAGGTGTGATCACCACACCGCCGAGTCGAATCGGGTCGGGATCGGTCGAAGCCGAGGTCGGGGCCGGAGGAGTCGAGAGGAGCTCCGCCAACGCGCTCCAGGGGCCCGCCTGCCTGCACGCAGCAGGAGCTGCCCTGAGATCCGAAGTTTCGAAACAATTACGAAACATCCCGAAACAAACACAACAACAACAACAATTACTAGCACGTGGGGACACTCCGTTCTCACCAGTGCCAGGGTTTTCAAAGGAGGCGGGCAATACCCCCACTTTGTGGGGGGGCCGGTTCAAGCTCTACCAAATTTCCAAACGACTCTTCGCCACCACCCACACCCAGCTTCCCGCCCTATGACGTTCGGACACTTCACTTCGTGGCATGCGGACGACCGTGGCTACTATTCAGGGCCCCGCGGCCGACGACGACGGCGTGCGCGCGCGAAGAAAAAACGAATGTGTCCCGCATGGTATTATTTGACAGGGATGATGGCCCTGGCAGGTGCGCAACCGTTGTTGCAGAAGTTCGAAAAAGTTGCTCGCAAAAGCCCGTTTGACAGAAATGATTAAAAAGTGTTGGGTTTCCTACGAATCCGCAAGAGCGCGCGGGATGAAATTTTGACATTTTTTTTTTGAAAAACCATTGGTTTTTTGATGTTTTTATGTTAAAATCGCTACGAAAACTAAGGTTTTGGAAGGATTTCGTCTTGCGCGCGCGAATGTCCACTTTACCTTATTTTTTGCAAGGGATTCTTGAAGTTTGGTTATGTTAGAACAAGAAATGTCCACTTTAGCTTATTTTTTGCAAGGGAAAACCGATCGTAGCAACACAACCGGATCCGGACTCCCCCGTTTTGCCTGAGACTTCCTCACGAAAATGATGAAAATGAGGCTGCGGCCTAGGCGCGGCGGGGGGGTCGTGCACCAGGGGCCCCAACAATAATTATTCTTTAGAAGTAATAATGTTCAACAACAACAACAACACCAACAACAACAGGAACAGCAACAGCAGCAACAACAACAACATCAACAATCACATCAACAACAACAGCAGCAACAACAACAACAACAGCAACAACAACACCAACAACAACACCAACAACAACAGCAATTACTAGCACGTGGGGACACACCGTTCTCACCAGTGCCAGGGTTTTCATAGGAGGCGGGCAATACCCCCACTTTGTGGGGGGGCCGGTTCAAGCTCTACCAAATTTCCAAACGACTCTTCGCCACCACCCACACCCAGCTTCCCGCCCTATGACGTTCGGACACTTCACTTCGTGGCATGCGGACGACCGTGGCTACTATTCAGGGCCCCGCGGCCGACGACGACGGCGTGCGCGCGCGAAGAAAAAACGAATGTGTCCCGCATGGTATTATTTGACAGGGATGATGGCCCTGGCAGGTGCGCAACCGTTGTTGCAGAAGTTCGAAAAAGTTGCTCGCAAAAGCCCGTTTGACAGAAATGATTAAAAAGTGTTGGGTTTCCTACGAATCCGCAAGAGCGCGCGGGATGAAATTTTGACAATTTTGTTTTGAAAAACCAATGGTTTTTTGATGTTTTTATGTTAAAATCGCTACGAAAACTAAGGTTTTGGAAGGATTTCGTCTTGCGCGCGCGAATGTCCACTTTACCTTATTTTTTGCAAGGGATTCTTGAAGTTTGGTTATGTTAGAACAAGAAATGTCCACTTTAGCTTATTTTTTGCAAGGGAAAACCGATCGTAACAACACAACCGGATCCGGACTCCCCGTTTTGCCTGAGACTTCCTCACGAAAATGATGAAAATGAGGCTGCGGCCTAGGCGCGGCGGGGGGGTCGTGCACCAGGGGTCCCAACAATAATTATTCTTTAGAAGTAATAATGTTCAACAACAACAGCAACAACAACAACAACGAATTGCGACAAAGCGCGACAATTCACAAACAAAACAATGAAACACATTGCGACACATCAGGTAGCAAAATTGCGAACCATCACGAGAGAAGCAATGCTTAGAACCGGCGCGGCCTGAGGGCCCCGAGGCTTGGGCAACGAGCCACAGCGCCCGGCGTGGAAAAAAATGGCGGCGCCCCACGATCTCAGGGTGCCCGACGGGGCCCCTGGGCACAGAGGGGGCGACGGAGGCCGGAGGGGAGGGGGCCGGAGAGGGATGCGGGAGGGCAGAGGGCTGCGCAGGGGGGGGGGCGCGAGAGGGGGGGGAGGGGAGCGGGGGGCGACGGAGGAGCGAGGGAGCGAGGGAAGCGATGGGCGATCGAGGGGAGCGAGCAAGGCACCGGTGCGGCATCCTCAAGTGTGGATGTATGCGTGGACACATACATACACGCATGCATGTTTGCATGGCTGTATGATGCATGCATGTAAATGCATGTATGTAAATACATGTGCATGTATGTATGAATGTATGTATATATGTAGATATGTGTGTATGTAGATTCGTGTGCATGCATGGGTGTTCGTATGCATGTATGTATGTACGTACGAACTCACGCACGTAACTACGCCTGTATGTATGTACGCGTATGCTATACCATGTATGTATGTGTGGATGAATGTACGGAGGTACGTATACACGTGTGAGCATGCATGTACATCTGCATGTGTGTACGTATGCGAATACATGTATGCATATGAATGCATATAAGCATGTATACCTGAATGTTTGTGCGTACGTACATGTTTGCATGTGTGGTTGCATGTATGCGCGTACACACGTACGTAAGATGCAGGCGTACACATGAATGTATGAATGTAAGTATGTGTGTACATGCTGTTATGCTTGCTCGTATGCATGCATGCAGGCATGTAACTATAAGTAATTGTATGACTGGACATGTATGTGAACACAAACGTATCTACACATGTGCGTGAACGTAAGTATGTATAAACGCAAACTGATTGTATGTTTTTTTTATACATGTACGTACCTCCGTACATACATACAAATGTAGGCATGCATGTACGTATAGATGTGTGTATGCGTGGACACATGTGTACGTGCCTGTAGGTATGTGTATGTAGGTGCATGTATGTATGTATGTCCATACGCATTTATGCACGATCGTGAATTTACATATGGTTACATATGCATATGTGTCTCGATATATATATATGTATATACATATATATAGGTTCGTATGCCTGTATACTCGCATGTATAACTGCAAAAATGTATATACAAGTATGTACATACATGTACACATGTGTATACGTATGGATGGATGGATGTATTAATCCAGGGAAGTATGTATGTATGTATGTATCTATGTATGTCTGTATGGTTGTTTGTGTATATGTGTATACGCTTGTGTGTATGTACGTACGTACGTACGTAGCTTCGGAGGTCCCCCTGCTCCAAGGGAAGGGGGGTAGCTTGAAGCTGCAGCCCCCTTTCCGTGAGAAGTGCGCCGCGAGCGCGCGCTTCCCATCCCACTTTAGACACTACCCGGAGATACTCTTCTACCTTGCTCTACTCTACGCTGCTGCTTCTCTGTTATACTCTACTCGTGTCTGTTCTGCGTTACCCAATTCGACCCAACTCGGGCGCTACCCATCTCTACTCTACTACACGCTGGTGTCTAGTCTACACCGACTTATTCAAAAGCCTAGCCTCTGCCAGCGGCGGGCCGTGAAAGAACACATTGTTGTGGCCAGTGCGCATGGCAGCGTGGGCGCAAGGCATCGCCATTGTGGCAAGTGCTTGCTCGGGGACGCGTTCACGACATCGTGATCGTTCATGGGTCGTTCGGTCTATGTTCTGCAGTTTTCTGCGCAGCGCCAACAGCTGCTTCTCGTGCGCACTACATTCGAAAATATGAGCATCGAGAGAAGAAGCGAAGAAACTTTTCATAATGACGAATCCATTTTAGCAGGGGTGTCGGGAATAGACCAGCGCACATCTACATACACACACATATGTATATATATATATGTAGATATATATATATATGTATATATATATATATATATATATGTATATATATATGTATAAGCTTACACCTGTCGTGTGGAAAGCAGGGACGACGGGGGGGGGATGAGGGGGACGAAGGGAAAAAGTAAAGGGATGAGGGGCAGAGAAGGAGGGGGAAGGAGGGGGGAGAAACGTAGAGACGCCCAAGGAGGCCCGCGAACTCCTCTACGCACGCAGTCGCATCTAGCCCCTGTAGGAGTAGGAGGTGGGATCCCCCCCATTGAACATGGAGGGTGGGTCTCCCTGTGGGCGTTGGGGGCGGGTCTCCTTGCGGGCAAAACACAACGATTCTTAGCATCCCTCAAGAATTCCAGATCAATTCGGGATGGATTCTGAAAATTTCCAACAAACTGCGGACCCTCGACGATACGATGCACATGGGCCCGGAAGATCTCTGACGAATTCCTGGAAGGATTCGGAGGATTCATTGGAAATTCTGGAAGTTTCACGACCAAATCCAGAAGAACCATGTCGATTGATGACCGCGCGAATGCGCTCCCCTCCGAACATCCCAATCGTTCATGGAATCCCTGGGGGTTCGTATTGACCCGCACAGGCGTTACCTGCAAAGTTTTCCTGGGAATGTCGTGTATCCCTGGGATTTCGTACAAGCCCGCACTGGCGGTGCCGCCAGCACGACGAGCTCCCCAAGATGAGCGATTCTGGGCGCGGGGGAGTTTTCGCTCCGCACCGGGCGCCGCCGACATACATTTGAGCCTCTGTTCAGCGCGTCTAGGTTTACAGTGGGGTCCCGACCACAAGAAACTTTCTACCAAAAAACCCAACCCTGAGACCCCAAGGCGTCCATTCACTTTTGGCGTGGGAACGTCGCGCTTTCCATCGCAAAACCGTCGAAACCCAAGAAACCCAGGGCACCCCGGAACCGAGCAGGGCGTTTCTTGGCATAGGACCCCACTGAACCGTTGTCCCGCCTCTGGAAGACATCTGGGCCGATCGCCCCAGAGATCCCCATGATGGGCCCGGCATCAGCCCGATGCGGCCCCAGGAGCGCCCAAAAGCACCACAGGAGGGTTCCGCGAGGCGCTGGCTCGGGCTCTGCCAGGCCAGTCTGACCAAGGGCCTCCCTTCATTGATCGACGCCGGCAAAGATGGCCCCACGAGTCCCCCAAAGCCCCCAAACCTTCCAAAACAAGTGATCCTCCACCTCCGTCTTCGGCGGCAGGCTCAGCACTTCCACTCCTGGATGTGCGCAGGTCGATTCCGAGCTTGGGCGGCTGACTCAGCCCTGTTGCACTGCACGATCCCACACTTCCCCGATCGGGGCAACTCGACTGGCAATCGCTCCAGGGGATGGTCTGGCGTGGATACTTTTTTGGTCGCGACCGCATGCGGTACGACCGCGCGCCGAAAGTGACGATACAGCCGGGCCAAACCCTAAACTAACCGCGAGTGACAGGAGCGAAGTACTCTGCAGCTCAGGGGGCGAGTAAGACGCTGAAGCACAGGATCAAGACGCAAAAGGACAGGTCGAACACGCCGAAGCCGTGGAAGACCAGGAGAGACTGGCCAGCGCGCAGCGCCAAAATGGCGGAGCAACTGATGCCCAACGACTCGACGGACAAGACCACGCCCACGAGGAAGACGAAGACCACGGCCGCGAAGTCGAGGAAGGCGAACGTGCAGGGTGCAGGCGCTCGACGGAAGTACCGGACCGCCAGTGGAGGGAGGGCGGAAAGGCGGCGCAGGCAGCACCGACAGCGACGGCTGGGTGCAGGGCAGCAGCATCGCCAAGCACGTGGGGGCGAGCACGCCCGGCGCGGGGGGAACGCGCGAGCGGCACGCGGCGCGGCACCAGCCAGCCGAGGGCCCAACGGCGAGCCCCCCGAGGGGCGAGCAGCGCGCCCTGGGCGAACGGCGAGGCCGACCAGGGAAAGCCGGCACCCAGGAGGGCGGATGGCAATCGCTCCTGGGGATGGTCTGGTGGGGATACGCGCAGCGCCAAGAGTATAGAGAGGGAGAGGCGAACGTTCCCCTATTCGGCACATCGACATTGGGTGGAAGGCGGGGAGGGGGGGGGTCTGGCTCTGGACCTCCGCTTAGTGCGAGTGTTTGCAAAAGTGCGCCCCATGGGGGAGGCCCCACCTGCTCGAAGCAGGCGCCAAAGACAGCCAAAATCTACTCCGTGGGGGGGTGGGGGAGGGGGGGTGCGAGGGCCCGCGCCGATCGCTCGCCATCGCTCGGACGTCCATTCCCTGTTTTTTTACAGTTTCGTGCGTGTTTTTTTCGCCAAATGATCAAGGATGCTCCTCGATGGCCCTCGCCGAAGGAAAAACGCACACGCCCGAGCAATGCCAAGATCGGAGAGCGAGAAGAAGAAGAAGAAGAAGAAGAAGAAGAGAGAGAGAGAGAAGCTCCTGACGCGAGAAACTCATTGACGCATGGCTCGGCTCTTGAGCCACAGGCCCGCGAGCCCGCTGACCCGCAGGCCTCCGACCCACGGGCCGGGCACGATGGCGCGGCCCCTCCACGAGTTCGCTGCTTGCGGGGGGGGGGGGGTCGGCGAGAGAGGCCTCTTGAACAAATCACAGGGAAAGAGAGAGAGAGAGAGAGAGAAACAAAAAATATAGAGAGGGATAAACAGAAACGAAGAGAGAGAGAGAGAGGGAGCGACAAAAAGAAAGACAAACAACAAGAGAAAGAGAAAGAGAAACAAAATGAGAGAGAGAGAGAAAGAGAAACAGAGAGAGAGAGAGAGAGATAAAGAAAGAGAGAGAGAGAGAGAGAAACAAAAAAAACAAAAAAAAGAGAAAGATATTGGGAACAAGGCAACAACATCGCCGGCGAGCGAGGGGGGGAAGTGGGACGGGGCGGCCCTTCTCAGGAGGCTGGGAAGTCCCCGGGCCTGAGGAGAGAAGTGTTCTCTAAGCCCTCCTGGGAGACACAACGGACTTCTAGGAAGGCGCAAGGGCTTCCAAGAAGCCCGGCCACCCTCTGAGAATGCCTTCTCCTTCTCACTCCCCCCCTCGCCCACCACCAACACACGGCAGGTTCGTGTCGCGACGACCCGGCGATGGTTTCTGACGCCGCGTGGATCGTTCGACCTTGCAGGATCGGCGGCTCTTCGATCGCCCAATCGTTTCATGTTGGTCGACTCTGGGCCACTGGCGGCCTTCAGCCTTGAACGCCCGCGGCGGGGTCGACGAGGGCCGACACGACGCGAACCTACCGTGGACAAAAAGAGACGGGGCCCGGGCGGCGGCCTGGGCTGCAGCCGCCTGGCGCAGAAGCCAGACCCTGTACACCGCAAACCCGGCCGCGGCCGCGCCGCCGCCCAGCACGACGCCGCCAGCCTGCCGCCCACGGGGCGGCCCCGCGGAGGCGAAGAGGAGTCGAGAAGGCAAGAGGTTGTGGTGACGATCGGGGAAGGCGGTGGTGGTGGTGATGATGTTAGGAGGCAGCTGCTGGGAGGTCTTCGTCGGAAAGATGAAGGAGGACTAGGCCCCAGTGGGGGGCTGTTACGCCAGCTTGGGCCTCGGATAAAGCGAGATTAAGCCGGACTAGGCGAGGTTGAGCCGGATGTTGCGGGATGAAGCCAGATCCAGCGGGATTAGGCCGGATTTCGGACCAGGGCAAAAACAGAATTGGACCTCCCGAGAGCTGTGTCCGAAACGATGAGGTGGAGGTGATGCTGGTGGGGGATCAGGCAAGAGGGAGCGGGCAGGCAAGAAGGGGATGATGATGGTGGTGGTGCTGACCACGTGCCATCGAGGGGAACGAGCGATGACGCAGTCATAAGATTTCCCGGGGCCCGCGCGGATTCAGCGAAGAGGGGCGAGCAGGCAAGAAGGGGGATGATGATGGTGGTGGTGACCATGATCGGGTGCCATGCAGGGAACTGAAGGGGAACTGGGACACACAAATAAATATACACAAATAAAAGGATCCCCCATATTTTCCCATATTTTCTGGGTTTTTGTCTACCCCCCCCCCTTCCCATATTTTCCCATATTTTCTGGGGAATCGAGGATTAATTGTGTCTGTGTGTTTCTTTTCCTCCTGGGGAACGAGCGACGACATAGTCATAAACTTTCCGAGGTCCGCGCGGATCTGTCGGGTCGACTCTGGAGCCCCCCGGCGGCGCCTCGGGCGCCGCCCCCGGCGCGCTCCGCTCGCCGGGGAGGGGGGTCCAGCGCCGATCCCAGAGATCCGTGCGGACCTCCGAAATGGCAAACGTATGGCATGATTTGTTCGCCGAGGTGCTGGTGATGATGATCAGGTGCCATTCAGCGAAGGAAAAACGTTGTTCGACGCACTCGCGATGCTGGTGAGGAGAGGGAGGGGGAAGGAACAGGAAGGGTGGCATGGCGAAGGAGGGCGAGGCGAACGTAGGGAAGAGGGTCAGGGAGGAGGGACGAGGGGAGAGGGAGGCGCGGGGAGAAGGAGGAGGCGGAGAACGAAGACGCAGAAAGGAGGAATAACGAGGTGGGACAGGGGGAGCAGGACTGCGGACTGCATTAAAAAAATGGTTGTTGTTGGGTGCACGTTGCTTCGCATAAAAGTTGCATTGCGATGCTTCGCATTACGTCGCATTGGTTTGCATGTGCTGTCCGCCGAATACCAGGTCTATACTTGGCGCCAATGCTATCTTCAGAAAAGATCGGAGCATGTGAAAACATTGTACAATTACCCAATACTGCGTGAGGCCTCACACGCAGATGTGAACTGGGAGATACCGTGCCCGATTGGAAATGGTATCCGTTCAGACTTCGCGCTGGTTAGAATCTGTATCTGTTGGGTGGGTTCGGCACCGTTGGCTGGGATTCGACCCAAGCGCGGTATCCCCCTCCCGGCCCGGCCCACCCGTATCATCTGAAGCTGTCTGCGGGGGGAGGGCGTCGCAGATAGGGAGTGTCTGCAATGTGCGCTAGTGCGTTCGCGAGCACAAGACACAGTTGCGCCTCCAGCCTTCGCACCCTCAATTCCTCTCTCTCTCTCTCGCTCTGTACATACAGATATGTGTATATGGATACCTCTTTTTCTACACGTCTCTCTCTCTCTCTATACGTGTGTGTGTGTGTGTGTCACTCTGCGTTATGTCTTTGTCTCTCTCTCTCTCTCTCTCTTTCTCCTGTTCCCTAGCTCTATGCCTATCTCTCTCTATCTCTCGATATCCCTCTCACTCAGATGTTCGATTCGTGCCCCGTTGTATAGATCTCTCTCTCTCTCTCCCCCCTTCTCTCTGTCTCTTTGTTATCTCTCTCTCTCTCTCTTTCTCTCCCCCTTTCTCTCTTTCTCTCTCTCTCTCTCTCCACTCCTTTGAGTTTGTTTGGTGAGCCCTCCATCTCAGTTGCTCTCTCTCTCTCTCTCTCTCCCCCCCCCCCGTCTCTCTCTCTCTCTCTCTCTCTCTCTCTCTCTCTTCTTCTGTACATATATGTATGTATGTATGAACGAGGAAACGAACGGTCATTCGCTGTCCCTTGATGCGGGTCTGCACTGGGGTTACGCGATGCAGATTGTTGTTGCGTTGTTGCCGCCTGTTGATGCTGTCACTTCTAAAGATAATTGTTGTTGATGCCCCCCTTGGGTGCCCATTGTGGGTTTTTAAAAGCAAGTGCTCCTCCCAGCGATCGCATTTTATGTATTGCAAGAGAAAAGATTGGACCTCATATTGTGTCGTTGGCAAGCGAGTTACAACATCAGCGGCTCCCGCCGGAAATAATTCATACCAAATCGCGCTCTTGCGCAGGACTTCCTCGCAATGTATGCAAGAATCGCGCTCTCGCGTGGTACTTCCTTGCAGTGTATTCAGACGCCGCGCCCTCGACCCACAAGAATCCCGCTCTCGCCATGGCCATTATCACGATTTACTTGGGAATCGCACTATCGCCCGAGCCTTCCTCGCGATACATGCAGGACTCACGCTTCAACAACCCGCCTGCTCAACCTCGCCGCCTGTGCCCTCCTTCACGACCCGCTCGTTAGGGTTTGACCGCCCGATCTGCCCGTCTGCTTCTGCGACGTGGGTTCTGTTCCTGGCCCCCTCCTCCTGATCTCTCTCGTGCGCCACCCTTCTCCCCCCATCTTGGCCGGGTATCGCAAGTCTGGGACACTTGTGTTCAATGGCACGCGGGCAGATAAGAGCGAACAATCGTAAAAGTATCACTGTTGTTGTCGTCGTCCCACTCGCGACCTGGCCCACGACACAAACGCGATCCGCCAGCGGCCCACCCACGACCCACCCGCGTCCCACCCCCGACTCGACCGCGACTCACCAGCGACCCACCTGCGGCCCACCCACCCACCCGCGACCCACCCGCGACCCACCCCGCGACCCGCCCGCTATCCGCCCGCGACCAACCCGCGCCCAACCCCGCGCCCCCCCCCTGGCTCTTATCCCCAACTGCGGATTGCTATACGAATGTGTATATATATATATATATATAGAGAGAGAGAGATACACGCGCATTTGTGTGTATTCCTCTCTCCCTCCCTCCGTCCCTCTCTCTCTCTATTTACTCACACGTTTCCTTGTCCTCCTCCTCCTCCTCCTCTTCTTCCTCCTCCTCCTCCGCATCCTCCGATCACTCCTCCCTTTCCTCCCTGGGCTCCCTTGCACCCCCCCCGTTTCGACATCTCACTCCTCCGCCTCCTCCTCCTCTTCCTCCTCCTCCTCCTCGTCCTCCTCCTCCCCCTTTCCAGCCCCCTCTTCGTCATCCTCCGCTCCCCTCCCCCTCTCCACCTCCTCCCTGTCCCGTCTGCCGTCCTCCATGCATCCCTCCCTCCGTCACTCCGCCCCTCGGCGCCGCACCCTCCGCAATAATTCCCCCGCCGCTCTCTCTCTCTCTCATTCATGTCTCCTCCCGTCCACTTCATCCGAGCCTTCTCCCTTACCCCCCGTGCGCATGACCAGCAGCAAAGCTACTGAGAAGATGGGCAACGCTCCGGGCCCCAGCTCCCCTCCATGGGGCCAGCGACGCTGCCAGAGCTGATCTTGGCGCACGAACCTCTGTCCACCCGCACGAGGAGGGGGGGGGGACGACCTGCTTGACCGGCTGCTGCTGGCTCCTCCTCACATGCTCCCTCTTCTCCTCTCCGTCCCCCTTCTCACCCTCATCTCTCCTCCTCCTCCTCCTCCTCCTCCTCCTCCTCCTCCTCCTCATCCTCCCCCTCCTCCTCCTCCTCTCGTCGCTGCCAAGGCTGATGCACCTCCTCATCCATCTCCTGATCACGGGTGTGTGCGGCGAGAAGTGGCCTGGAGTGGGAGAGCGGCGACGACCCAAGTCCATGCTGGGACTGGAATGGGTGAGATGATGTGGGCAGTGGCAGGTGTGGTGCGCGTCAAGAGCACGGGCCGAGCGGGCACGAGATGGGAAAGGAAGTGTGAGGACGGCGAAGCAACACCTGGCCCGACGACCCCAGCCCCTACTGGGACTGGGGTGTTTGAGAATGTGGGCAGTTAGCAGCTGTGATGCGCCTCACGAACATATGGTTCGAGCGGGGGGGGGCGACGCGAAAGGAACGTACCATGGATCATCAGCTTCATGCTAAAGGGGTGGCAGGGACCTCCACAGCTACAAGGCTAAGACCAGTGTGCTCGACATTGGGTTGGCGCTGGCTTCGGAACAGGCTGGTGCACACAGCTGGGGCATGCGCCAACTCGTGTCTTTCATCAGCTCAGCTACGGTGCTGCAATCAGCTCGTGCGGGCCAAGCGACAAAAAGGCTGCTGTCGTGCTGCCGCGTCGCCCAAGGACGGCCTGGGGGTAGGTGGTCAGTATTCGCTAGACCCGTAGGAGACTCGCTGGCCTCAGGAGTCGTCGTAAGGCTAGTGCCATGCTATATCGTCGATGTCTTCGTCCTCCTCCTCATCCTCAGCCGCCTCATCCTGGTCCTCTTGTTCCTCCTCGTGATCCTCCTCCTCCTGCTCCTCCTCCTCCTCCTTCTCCTCCTCCTCAGTATGCGTCTCCTCCTCCTCGTTCTCGCCCTCAGTCATAACGCGAGGATGTCAGTAGAGGCCTCCAAAATGGAGTCGGAGCAGACAGAGTCGGAGGTTCGCACCGCATCGTCGATGCACCGCCGTCGCATCGGCGACGTCGTTTCGGAGAAAATCGGGCTCCACATCGACCCGCACCAACGCTGTCGGCGATGCGGCGTGATCCTCCGAGCCTATCTACTCGGACCCAGTCTTAGGTCGGGCGTGTCCCCCTACAGGCCGATCTCGGAAAAAAAACACGAAACATACCCAACCAATATTTCAAACATCAGCACCAATAGTAGAAGGCTCGTCCCCAGACTAGTTGTACTTTGGCCATCTTCAACAATTCCTCCTGTATAGGGTGACACGACACGCCCGACTCAAACCCAGTCGGGGGAGGTGGATGTGCACATTGGATGCTCGTTCTGGGGACCTTCCTGGAGCCACTCGCCCCACTCGTGCGTCGAAGCTGCGTCGAACGTCAGTCGATTTGGGTCGACCCTGAGTCGAACCTGAGTCGAACCTGAGTCGAACCTGAGTCGAACTCGAAGTCGAACTTGAGTCGAACTTGAGTCGAACTTGGGTCGAACAGATCCGTTAGGTGGGCTCCAGGAAGGTCCCCGAAGCGAGCATCGAGTGCACAGGCGTCGTCCTCCGCCCCCCGCGGGCGGGGGGGGGGGGCGCGTCAGAGAGGGTGGCCGGCCCCGGAGGTCACCGCCCGACGCCCGGCCGCGAGGGGGCGGGCAGGAGCACGGGCACGGGGGGGAGAGTGGAGCATCCTCCTCCTCCTCCCTCCTCCCTCCTCCCTTCTCCTCCTCCCTCCTCCTCCTCCTCCTCCTCCTCCTCCGCCCTCCTCCCTCCGCCTCCTCCTCCTCTCCTCCTCTCCTCCTCCTCCTCTCCTCCCTCCTCCTCCCTCCTTCTCCTCCTCCTCCTCCTCCTCCTCCTCCTCCTCCTCAGGGAGGGGAGGAAGGGACGGAGGCCCATGCAGGATCGCGTCGTAACAACAAAAAAAAAACGGGAGCGGTTTTTGGCAATTTTCGGCCTCGGGGGCCCTCGCCTGGCCTCGGAGGAGGGAGGAGGGAGGAGGAAGGAGGAGGAGGAGGATGAGGAGGAGGAGGAGGAGGAGGAGAAGGAGGAGGAGCAGGAGGAGGAGGAGGAGCAGGAGAGAGGAGGAGGAGGAGGAGGAGGAGGAGGAGTAGGAGGAGCAGGAGGAGGAGGAGCAGGAGGAGGGAGGAGGAGGAGGAGGAGGAGGAGGAGGAGGAGGAGGAGGAGGAACAGGACTACTACGAATGCGCCTCGGCGGGCCGTCCACGGCCAGAAAACAAACGATGTCTCGAAAGGCTCCCTCTTCAGAGCCCGAACCCGCGGATTCTGCATCCGACGGCGGAGAAGTCCCCTTCTCGCGCCGGCGCGCCCCGAGCGCAGCCACCCAGCCCCCTCGGCCTCCCGACGAAGCCCGAAACGAGACAGAATGTACTCTCGAGTGGGCGGTTGGCGCGGGAGGCTGCGCCCGCCGGCACTGTGGCCGCGGGCGGGCTCTGTCTCCACGGCCCCGCGGACGATTCGGTTCTCGGCGCGCCCTTGGCCCAGAAGGAGCGCTGCAAGACGAAGTCGGTCGTCGCGCGGGGGCGCGGTTGGCACCTCGAGGCGTCCAGTGTTGAAGGGGCCCCAAGACACACAAATAAATACACACCATTTTCCCATATTTCCTGGGTTTTTGTCTTCCCCCCCCCACTTCCCATGTTTTCCCATATTTTCGGGGGAATCGACGATTGATTGTGTCTGTGTGTTTCTTTCCCTCCTGAAGTGTTTGCGGTTGGTCCTATGATGGGGGTATTCCCGTTTGGCCACCCGGCGGAGCTGCTCCTGAGCTCCGTGGCCAGCCTGCGCTCCAAGGCTCGGCCCTTGCAGGACCTTCCCCGGGTTGGCCCCTGCGAGACCCCCATCCACATCTGAAGCAAAAGAGAAAGAGTGCGCTCGGGCGATTGCGTGACGGTCGTTTTGACCTGCCTGCGCCCTGCGATTCGAAATGCGCAGCTGCCGTCACTGCGCCAATCGTGGGGCCAATCGAGCTCTAGAATCGCAGCGGCAGGCACGCGCACGGCGTCAGGGCCCACGGCGGGCGGCGCCGCAGAAGCTGGCTCGATCCCCGTGGTCTGCGCCGTGCTGTGACTCCCTGGCCCCCGCCAGGACGCCGTGGTCTGCGTCGGGCGCCGGCGCGCCAGCGGCTGCAGCGTGCGCCTGGCCACTCCAGCGCCCAGCCTCCAAGACAGCACAGGACGCGCAGCGCGCGGGGCTACCCCAGCTCCGCCCGACCCCCGCAGCGCGGGAGGCCCTGCGCGGCGGCAAGGGCCTACATCGAGTAACGGGGTGGGGCAAGCGAACACCGAGGGCTGCACGGCGACGCTGCGCCTCCGCAGTGGCGTGGAGCCCACACCAAAGGCCGAGGCCGTGGAGCTCGGCACCCGCCTTCGCGAGGGCGTCGGCGTGCAGGGTGGGCCCGCCTGTCCGCCGACGAGGTGCGCCCGGCATCCACCTTCGGGAGCGGCCAAAGACTGAAGGCCCAGAGATTGACACCAACACCAATTTCGGCGGTTTGCCTCCACCGAGGGAAGAAGATCCCGATCTCGGCGATGGTGGTAATATTCTGGCTTCCAAGGTGGCCGAACTATTACCACCAACACCGAAAATCTAGGATCACCTTCCCCCTGTGGAGGCAACCCCCTGTCTTGGTGTTGGTGCCAATTTCCAGGCCTCCGAAAAGAGGGGGGTGTCCAGGAGGGGGGGGTGTCAATCATGACCGTCGGCACGTGCGCGGCCCAGCGGGGGGGCCAGCGGCGTAAGGAAACAAGAAGAGAGGCGCCGTGACATCCGGGGAACTATCATGGCCCACGCCATGGTTACCCCCCCCCCCCACAGTCGTCCCCCCCCTCTTTTCCGCCCCCGACACACCCGAGGCCGTGGCGTGCGCCTTCACCTTGTGGACGTCGTTGAGGTCGTCGGGCTGGAAGCTCGCCCAGGCGCGCCCCCACAGGTGCGCCCCCACAGGTCCACCCTCACAACAGATCGCACCGACACGCGAAGCCGTTCAGTAAACGCATGCATGGAAGGAATCGAACAGGGCAAGGCGGTTCAGTAAACGCCACGGGCGGTATAGAAAGAAAAACGCCGATGATCGGGTCTGGCTGGCTTGCCCTCCCCAGATTGAAGGCGCAGCCGTCTTTTCTACTGTAGCGGCGCCTGGCGGGAGGATGTAGCGGAGATGGGGGGCCTGGGGTCCTGTCCCGTCACCAAGCGATTCCTAGAGCCCACATCGGACGCGCAGCGATGTTACAGTCAACCCGTACAAGAAGGACGCACGATCAGGACGCAAGAGCCCTAGAAAACGGCACGTCGACAGGCGAGGTCGCGGCCAGAGAGCGCGTGCAAGGGTAACCTTGGAACATCGCTCATTCTTGCTATGCTTGGGTCGGGCATGTCCTCCTACAGGCGGATCTTGCAAGACAAATGAGAGAGAGCCAAACGATGCTCAAACTTGGAGGGTGAAAGTGGGGGTCGGGCGCAGGGTCCCGGCAATGATGTTTTTTAAAGTCATGAATGGGCGATACATCCTCGATTGCTGTGTTCGGCGGGGGAACTAATTGAAGCCCCCCGCCTGCACCCGCGCGCGAGATTTGATGGGGAAACGAAGCAAGGGGGCGGGGGGCTCGGGAAAGGCGACGAAGGCAACGTGCGCTAAGGGCGCAACAAGAACAGGCTGGAACACACGAAAGCGGTCGGGTGAGTGTCGAAATCTGCCCAGCCAATCTGGCATGCGGAACACTGCGCCTCAGTTTTGGGGATCTTGAAGGCCAGGGCAAAATGTGAATTCACATTGTGGGGAAAAGCAAAATCTGAATTCACACTTTGGGAAAAAGGAAAATGTGAATTCACATTTTGGGAAAAAGGAAAATGTGAATTCACATTTTGGACTTTTGTGTAGGATTCTTTATGAAGGGGCCAGAATGTGAATTCACATTTTGGGAAAAAGGAACACGTGAATTCACATTTTGGGAAAAAGGAAAATGTGAATTCACATTTTAGGAGAATCGCGGGGCCCATTCCAAATCTGTCTTGGGGGTCGAGAAGTCATCGTTTGGGAACATACGCGATCATCAACCGCACAATCAAGACACACTTGCACTCCACTTCGCCGACCCACGCGCAATATGCAAGAACGCCCGCACGCATGAACGATAATGGATGGACGGCGCGTGTGCCCGCGCGGGCAACGCGCGGGCACGAATGACTGGCCACCAATGACCGCCAGCATTGGATGCCAATCGTACCCGATCACATACATGAGCGATACATTGAGCATACATGGGCCATTCAGCCCCCATTGAAGACCCCCTGTTGCAGACCCCCTCTTTCACCCTCCAACAAACACGACCAACGACAGCGAAAACATCGTCCCCGGGCTAACTTTTCACTATTCTCGAGTCTTCCTCCTGTTGAGGGGCATGCCCGACAATGACTCTTGCTGTGCGGGCTGGCCGTCGTGAGTGTGGGTCGCCCCTTGGCGGTGGCGTCGCGCCCGGCGCGCCCCCCCGCCAGGGCGGGCGGAGGGAGGGCAGCAGGACCCCAATCTCGCAGCGGGGGGGCGCCGGCGCCGCCCGCAGGTCTGCCGGCGAGCGGCGCGCCGCGGAGCCACGATCCCCCAGACGATCTGGACCCCCTGCCGCGGCCAGAGGACGACGACGAGTGGGACGAGGACGACAGGCGACGACGACGACGACGACGACGACCCGGGGTAATTGCTCGGGGATCGACAGAGGCGGCGGCGGGCCCCAGGAGGGAGCGAGAGGCGGCAGGCCTTTTCATCTCGCAGAAGGCGCCGGGGCTTCTCAGGAGCCCTCGCGCCATCTGAGCAGCCGCCTGTCTTCGGGAAAGTCTCTGACGACTTCTCAGAAGGCCCGAGGCCTCCCGAGCCTTCTGAGAAGGTCCGCCCCTTTCTCATTTCCCCCCAGGCTCGCCGCCTGCACAGGGGCCCCGACACCCAAGCGCAACCAGGGGGACGACGACGACGAAAGGGGGCCGACGGCGACGGCGAAGACCAAACAAAGGGGCACGAGCAAGAGGCGCCCTGGCCCCGTTCCCTTGGGAAGCGCGTGCGGCGGCCACCGAAGAGCGCAGGGTCGAACTTGAGTCGTCAAAATCACTAAGAGGAAAATAAAACAGCAAAACCATGAGCTGTCAGCGGCCCGCTGGCGCCAGAAGCGGTGCCAATGGGGCCCCAACGCCGATCCAAGAGATCCGCGCGGACCGTCGAAAGTGTATGCCTTTGCCATGCTTTGTTCTCCGAAGTATAAAAACCCACCCGTGCTGAAGCGTGCGAACGTCTGCGTCGGCGGATGCTCTCGCCCGGGCGCTAATGCGCGCGCACTTGAATGGAGGGAGTGGTCGGAGTGGCGGGCGGAGGGGGGGGGGGCAGGAGGTCCAGGGGGGAGGAGGGGGGAGGATAACGGAGGTCGGAGGAGGGGGGAGGAGGAGGAGGAGGAGGTCGAGGAGGAGGGGAGGAGGAGGAGGAGGAGGTGGAGGGAGGAGAGGAGAAAGAGAGGAGGAGGAGGAGGAGGAGCAGGAGGAGGAAAGGGAGAGGACGAGAGGAGGAGGGAGGAGGGGAGGAGGAGGAGGAGGAGGAGAAGGAGGATGAGGAGGAGAGGAGGAGGAGGAGGAGGGGGCGGAGCGGGAGGAGGAGGAGGAGCAGAAGGAGGAGAAAGAGGAGGAAGGAGGAGAAGAAGGAGGAGGAGACGAAGGAGGAGGGGAGGAGGAGGAGGAGGAGGTGGAGGTCGAGGAGGAGGAGGAGAAGGAGGAGGGGGGGGAGGAGTAAGATGGAAGATGCAGGAGGTGGGGGGAGAAGGAGGAAGAGGAGGAGGAGGAGGAGGAGGAGGAGGAGGAGGGAGGAGGAGGAGGGAGGAGGAGGAGGAGGGGGGGAAGGAGGCGGAGAAGGAGGAGGAGGAGGAGGAGGAGGAGGAGGAGGAGGAGGAGGAGGGGGAGGAGCAGACGGAGGGGAGGAGGAGGAGGAGGAGGGAGGAGGAGGAAGAGGAGGGGACGGGGAGGAGGATAGGGGGAGGAGGAGGAGGATGAGGAGGAGGAATAGGAGGAGGAGGAGGAGGAGGAGATGGAGGAGGAGGAGAAAGGAGGAGGAGGAGGAGGGAAAAGGGGGAGGAGGAGGAGGAAGAGGAGGAGGAGGAGGACGAGGAGGATGAGGAGGGGGACTGGGAGGAGGATGGAAGGGGGAGGCAGGGGAAGCAGGAAGGGGGGGGGGCGGGGAGGAGGGAAGCTGAGGGGGACGACCAGGGGAACAGAAGGGGAAGCCCTCATTCGGCCCCGCTGGCCTCTGTACTCCCAACGCTGCTCCGCGTGGATGCAGAGCGCGAACGGCCGCCCCGGGGCTGGGAGTCCGATCGCCCCCGGGTGCCGCGGCCACGGGGCTGTCACTGTGTGGGGGGCAGGTGCTGGCGCGCTCCGGGGCGAGGAGATCGGGAGGGGAAGGATCGAGAGGCGGACAGGGGGGAGGAGGAGGAGGAGGAGGAGGAGGAGGAGGAGGAGGAGGAGGAGGAGGGAGGAGGAGGAGGAGGAGGAAGAGGAGGAAAAGGAGGAAGAGGAGGAAGAAAGGGAGGAGGAGGACGAGGAGAGGGAGGAGGAGCAGGAGCAGGAGCAGGAGCAGGAGCAGGAGAAACAGGAAGAGAGGCCTGATGGCAGGAAAGGATGGAGGTTGGACGAATGGGAGGGAAAGGGGAAGGGGCATGAGACAGAGGAGAGTGCAGGAAGGGCTCTCCACATACATACGTGCACACACATGCATGCCTACATACATACATGCACACTATCGTCTATACATCGTCTATACAACGTCTATATACATCCATATATGCATACATACATACATACATACATACATACATACATACAGACAGACAGACAGACAGACAGACAGCCACACAGACAGGCAGACAGACAGACAGACAGACAGACAGACAGACAGACAGACAGACATGCATACATACACACATACATACATGTATACAATCATACATGTATACATACATACATACATATATACATACATACATACATGCATACATATATACATACATACATGCATGCATGCATACATCCATACATCCATACATGCATACATGCATACATGCATACATGCATACATGCATATATGTATACATGCATACATGCATGCATGCATGCATGCATGCATGCATGTATGCATACACATATACATACATACATACATACATACATACATACATACATACATACATACAGACATGCATACATACATACATATCCATACGTACACCCGTATATCCATCCACAAATACAAACACCTATACATACACGGCGTATAATACACACATGCACCTACTGACATACATGCATCTACATACATATATATATATGTATATATATATACATACATATATATATATACACACACCGGGCCGCAAGGCGCAAAATGGAGATTTTTCCAGGTCCTTATCTGTCCGCTGTTCTATGTCCCCTGGACCTTGGTATAATAGTATTATAAGGGCAAAAGCACCAACATCTCCCATTTCCTGGGCGGTCCCGCGCAGTCTTGGGCTGGCCCGCATGACTTTTCCAGAAGGCAAGAGGCCCCAACACGTACCAAAAAGGCCACAGAAAACGCCAAAGAGGGCCCAAGAGGCCGCCACGACAACGCCCAAAACCGCTCCACGACGCCCATGATGGCCTCAAGACGGCCCAAGAGGCCCCGAAGAAACCCTAAGAGCGCTCCAAGACCCCAAGGGGGGCCCAACGAGGCAAACGTAATCTATGTTCCTTGTGTGTGTGTGTGTGTGTGTGTTTCAAATATGGTCGCGTTCTCGCGTTTCCAGGCTTCTGACGCTCTAAGATGGCCCCAGAGGCCCAGAATAGCGCCACAAGACGGCCCAAGAGGCCCCCCCAAAAGGCCCCCAAACTGTCCAAGAGGGCCCCACAACTGGCTGAACAGGGACCCGAAAGCGCCCAATGGGGCCCCAAGACGGCCCCAAGAGGGGCCCAAAAGTCAAGCCTTCCGCCCCGAAGGCCCCCAGAAGGCCCCAAGAGAACCCCAAGAGAGCCGAAGAGGCCACGTAGAGGCCCCACGAGGACCCCTAGAGGCCCCTCGAAAAGATCCCAAATGGCGCCCAAGCTGCCCCCAACTGGCTTCAAAACTGCCCCCAAGAGGCCCCCGAGAGGCCCCCCACGAGATCCAAATGAGCATCCATGAGGCCTCCAACCCACAACCAAGGCACGGTGGCGGGATGCGCCGAAGACCACTATATCCGCCGCCCCCTGCTTGCAGGGGTGCACGGCGTGCTGGACGTTTCAGGTTTTGGTTTTGGTTCTTTTTCCAAAAGAACTCCCCAGTGGGCTCCGGCCCGTCCCGCCACCGTGCCCAAAAACGGCCGTTTCGCTCGGGACATCCTCAACAAATCGCGAAGATGGCCCAAGATGGCCTCCAAGTCCGCCCGAGATGGTCCAAGACGGCCTCCAGGACGGCCCAAGAGAGTCCAAGACGGCCCAAGACGGCCCAAGAGGCCCCCCAGAGGCCTCCCAGACGGCCCAAGAGGCCTCCAAGAGGTCCTCCAGGAGAGTCCGAAGAGGCCAAAATCATTGATTTTCCCTTGGTTTTTGAAGGATTTTGGCATTTGCGCCTTTTCGGCTCTCCGACGGCTCAAGACGGCCCAAGAAGCCCCCAAGATCGCCCAAGAGGCCCCCAAGAGAGCCCCCTGATGGCCCAAGTGGCCTCCAAGATGGCCCCTAGAGGGCCCCAAGAGGGCCCAAGAGGCCTCCAACACGCCCAAGATGGCCTCCAAGACGCCCAAGATGGCCTCCAAGACGGCCCTGGAGCGCCCCAAGAGGGTCCCCCGTTGGCCCAGAAAGGCCCCCAAAACGGCTCCCGACGGCGTCAGACGTGCCAGGAACCCACCAAGATGGCCGAAGTTCGCTCGAAGCTGGCCCAAAAGGGCCCAAGAGGCCCCCAAGAGGGCCTCCAGGAAGGCCAAAAGATGCCAAAATCACTGATTTTCCAAAGGTTTTTGATGGATTTGGGCATTTCCCTTTTTTCGGCCTTCCGACGGCCCGACACGGCCCAAGAGCCCCCAAAGATCGCCGAAAGATCGCCCAAGAGGCCTCCAAGACGGCGACGATGACCATCAAGACGCTCACGTGTTCCCCGAAGGCTTTCCAAACCGATTCGGGGAACACATGGTCCGATGGCTTGGCAGGTCTGGCCTCAACGTTCGGCCACATAGGCGCTTCCACAAAGGCAGGGGGCGGCGGTGATTCGCCGTAGGCGTCTTCGATCCGACGCCCCCTGTCAATTCATCGCAGGGGTGTTTGGTTCTTTTTCCAAAAGAACTCCCCCTGGACCTTCGGCGCGTCCCGCTGGGGTTCCGGGAGGCTCTTCCAGCCTCTTCCGGAGGTGGTTCCCGTGGGCTTCCCTGCCCCAGATGGCTCCAAGATGGCCTCCAAAACGGCTAAGGTGGACCCAAGATGCCTCCAAGACGGCCCAAGATGCACCCAAGACGGCCTACGATGGCCTCAAGCTGGCCCAAGACGGCCCAAAAGGCCCCCAAGAGGCCTCCAAGACGGCCCAAGAGGCCTCCAAGAGGTCCTCCAGGAAGGCCCCAAGAGGCCAAAATCATTAATATTCCTAAGGTTTTTCTAAGATTTGGCCATTTCCGCCTTTCAGGCTTTCCGACGGCCCAAGACTGCCCAAGAGGCCCCCAAGATCGCCCCAACATCGCCCAACAGGCCTCCAAGACGGCCCCATGACGGCCCTAGAGGCCCCCAAGAGGGCCCCAAGACGATCCAAGAGGGCTCCAAGACGGCCACGATGGGCTCCAAGACGTCCAAGATGGCCCAATACGGCCTCCAAGATGCCTCCAAGACGGCCAAGATGGCCTCCAAGACGGCTAAGATGGCCCCCAAATGCCTCCAAGACGGCCCAAGATGCTCCCCCTCCAACTCTTCTTGCTCCCCCACGCGTTCCACGAAGCCTTTCCAAACCGACTCGGGACACACATGGTCAGATATCTAAGCCAAGCTCTAGCCCAACTGTCGGCTCTATCCTCTCACACGTGCTCCCCGAAGGCTCTCAAAACCAACTCGGGGAAAACATGGTCCGATAGCTTCGCTGAGCTCTGGCCCAGCTGTCGGCCACAGAGGCGCTTCCACAGGAGCAGGGGGCGGCGGTGATTCGCCGTAGGCGTCTTCGATCCGCCGCCCCCTGTTGATCTATCACAGGGGTGCCTGGCGTGCTACACGATTTCGGTTTTGGTTTGGGTCCTGTTCCAAAAGAAGTCCCCCCGGGGCTCCCGCGCGTCCCGCAGGGGTCCCGGGAGGGTTGCCCAGAGGTGGTTGCAGAGGTTGTTTCTCTCCACACGGCTCCAAGACGGCCCAAGATGGCCTCCAAGATGCTTCCAAGACGGCCAAGATGGCCTCCAAGACGGCTAGGATGGCCCCGAGATGCCTCCAAGGCGGCCCAAGATGCACCCAAGACTGCCTAAGATAGCCTCAAGATGGCCCAAGAATGCCCAAGAGCCCCTTAAGAGGTCTCCAAGGCAGCCCAAGAGGCCTCCAAGAGATCCTCCAGGAAGGACCGAAGAGGCCAAAATCATGCATATCATACGTTTTTGAAGCATTTTTCGGCCTTCCGACGGCCCAAGAGGCCCCAAAGATCGCCCCAAGATCGCCCAAGAGGTCTCCAAGATGGCCCCATGACGGCCCAAGAGGGCCCCAAGATACCCCAAGAGGGCCCCAAGTCGGCTCAAGAGGCCTCCAAGACGCTCAAGATGGCCTCCAAGACGGCTAAGGTGGCCCCAAGATGCCTCCAACACGGCCCAAGATGCACCCAAGACGGCCTGAGATGGCCTCCAGATGGCCGAAGACGTCCCAAGAGCCCCCCAAGAGGTTTCCAAGATGGCCCAAGAGGCCTCCAAGAGGTCCTCCAGGAGGGCACGAAGAGCCCAAAATCATTGATTGTCCTTACGTTGTTGAAGGGTTTTGGCATTTGCTTCTTTTCGGCATTCCGACGGCTCAAGACGGCCCCAGAGGCCCCCAAGATCGCCCAAGAGGCCTCCAAGATGGCCACATGACGGCACAAGAGGCCCCCAAGACGGTCCCAAGACGGCCCAAGAGGCCTCCAAGACGCTCAAAATGGCCTCCAAGACGGCAAAGATGGCCCCAAGATGCCACCAAGACGGCCCAAGATGCACCTAAGACGGCCTAAGATGGCCTCCAGATGGCCCAAGAAGGCCCAAGAGGCCCCCAAGACGCCTCCAAAATGGTCCGAAAGCCGCCCAGGGTTTTTTCCAGGAGGGCACGAAGAGGCCAAAATCACGGATTGTCCTACGGTTTTGAAAGATGTTAGTATTTGCTTCTTCTCGGGATTCCGACGGCTCAAGACGGCGCAAGAGGCCCCCAAGATCGCCCAAGAGGGCTCCAAGAAGGCCCATGACGGCCCAAAAGGCTATCAAGACGGCCCCAAGAGGGCCCCAAAACTGCCCAAGAGGCCTCGAAGACGCCCAAGATGGCCTCGAAGAACCCCTGATATGCCCCAAGAGGGACCAAGACGACCCAGACAGGCCCCCAAGACGGCTTCCGACGTCGTCAGACAAGCGGCCAAAGAAGCCCCCAAGAAGCCCCCAAAGGCACCCAACAACCTTCCAAGAGGCCCCAAGGAAGCTCCAGGGAGGCTCCAAGAATGCCCCAAGAGGCGCCTAAGACGCCTCCTCCTCCTTATTTTTCCGTATCATCCCCCTCCTCCGCTTCTTGCTCCCCCCTGCGTTCCCCGAAGTCTTCCAAACCGACTCGGGGAACAACTTGCCCGATAGCTTGGCCAAGCTCTGGCCCAGCTGTCGGCCACAAAGGCGCTTCCAAGAAGGCAGGGGCCGGCGGTGATTCGCCGTCGGCGTCTTCGATCCGCCGCCCCCTGTTGATTTATCACAGGGGTGCCTGGCCTGCTGAACCCTCTCGGTTTTCGTTTTGGTTCTTTTCCAAAAGAGCTCCCCTGGGCCTCCCGCGCGTCTCGCCGGGGTCCCTGGAATGTGCTCAATCAGCAACAACATCCTCCAAGATGGCTCAGGATGGCGTCAAGATGGCCACGTTGGCCCAAGATGGCCTCCAAGATGGTCCAAGATGGCCTCCAAGACGGCCCAAGAGAGTCCAAGACGGCCCAACAGGCCCCCAAGAGGCCTCCAGGGCGGCCCAAGAGGCCTCCAAGAGGTCCTCCAGGAGGGCACGAAGGGGCCAAAATCATTGATTTTCCACATGTCTTTTTGAAGGATTTGGGCATTCGCTTCTTCTCCGCATTCCGACGGCTCAAGACGGCCCCAGAGGCCCCCAAGATCGCCCAAAGATCGCCCAAGAGGGCTCCAAGAGGGCCCCACGGCCCAAGAGGCCCCCAAGACGGCCCCAAGAGGGAACAAAGACGACCCAAGAGGCCTCCGAGACGCCCAAGATGGCCTCAAAGACGGCGCTGGAGCACCCCAAAAGGGCCCCAAGTCGGCCCAGACAGGCCCCCCAAACGGCTTCCGACGGCGTCAGACAGGCCAGGAGCCCACCAAGATGACCGAAGTTGGCTCGAAGCTGGCCGAAGACGGCCAAAGAGGCCGCCAAGAGAGCCTCCAGGAAGGCCAGAAAAAAAGCCAACAACACTGATGTTCCATAGGTGTTTGAAGGATGTTGACATGTGCTTCTTTTCGGCCTTCCGACGGCCCGATACGGCCTAAGAGCCCCCAAAGATCGCCCAAGATGCCTCCAAGATGGCCCCAGAACGGCCAAAGAGGCCCCCAAGACGGCCCCATGAGGCCCCAAAGACGGCCCAGGAAGTTTTTAAGACGCCCAAGATGGCCTCCAAGACGGCCCTGGAGCATTCCAAGAGGGCCCCAAGTCGGCTCCCCCAAACGGCTTCCGACGGCGCGTCGGACGGGCCAGGGGCCCACCAAGACGGCCGAAGATGGCATTAAGATGGCCCAAGACTCATGTTTCTTCTCAGCCCTATCCTGCAATTTCTTTCTCGGCCTCCTCAGTTCCTTTCGCGGAGGCTCCATCTTGGAGAGCCCCTTTAAGGGGTCCCACGACAGTTTGTAATCAAGGGCTTCTAGGAGCCTTCTGGAGGCCCTCTGGAAGCTTCCTAGAGCCTTCTGGGGACTTCCTCGGGTCACCCTGTTTCCAACCGCGGTCTCCCTGATCGGCCAGGTTACCACTTTGGAATGCTTCCGATCACGCTGTGATATAGGGCCTTCATGGGGCTCTCGTCGGGGCATCTTGGGATCCAGCTGGCATCGTTTGGGGATCTCTTGGGCAACCTGGAAGCCTCTTTGATTACCAGCCTGGAACATATCCCTATCCCTATGCTGGGCATCTCCTCATCACGATGCGAATCTTAGAGATTCCCTTATTTTTTGAGGGCGCATTGCCTTTGGGCGTGTCAGTCTTAGGGATAGGGATAAGTTCGAGGCTGGTAATTTGAGCAGTTGGATTTGGGGCTATTCACGGGCATCCTGGGCGGCCTCGGACGCCCGCAAGACCGAAGAGCAGAGCATTCCCCAAATCATGCAAAAACAATTGGGGAATTCATGCGCTGGTGCGTTTCAAAAGCCTCTCAATGATCTTCTTTAGATCGCCTTCGGGCGTCTGCAGAATCTGGGGCCTCTTCGGGCCCTCGCGGGGCCGTTCGGCCGCCCTCCTGACTGGTTTGGGCCCGTTGCCTAAGCCCCGGGCTTCCAGGAGCCCCGGAAAATCCCGAGGACCTCCTGCATGGACGTCCCCGGGGGAACGGATCCTGGCTCGTCCGTGTTCTTGTGTTTAGGGGGGGAACCGGGCTTCCCCACCCGCCTGGACTGTAAAAAATACTGACATGAAATTATGATCCCGGGCCCAGGGTTCACAGGCGCCCCCCCGAGATGGGCTCGGTCCCAAGGTTCCACAAGCCCCCCCACATATGGGATGGGGGGGGCGCGACGACGACGACGAGGATGCGCCGACGGGCGACGACCACGACGACGTCGACGACGACGACGACGACGACGACGACGACGACGACGACGGCGACGACGGCGACGACGACGACGAGGACAACGACGCCGAATCACCCCATACCCACAGGGGGAGGGGGGATGGCCACAGGTACCCACCACCACGCCACGCCCACAGCGCCTCGACCACCACAAGGGGGGGTTGGCGGGGGGGGGATCCCATTGGCGAGGCCCTCGCGAGGCTCCCGGGCGTACCCATCCAGCGGGGGAGGAGGGCGATCTCGTTAGCATTGGGGGGGGTTCTTGATCATATATATATATATACATATATAAATATATATATATATATATATATGTATACACATATAAATATCTGTACATACACAAGACTGCATGTGCGCTTCGCGCTGTGCAGCTTGGTCCTTGAAGTTCGATGTGCAAGCAGAAGGGCAGGAAGGTGAAACAGACAGTTTAGCGATAACTCCTTGTCGCCTTCTCCGACATCGTCGTTGTACTGAAGCTATGCGTTGTCTTTCGTGCATGAGTCCTCTTCCTCTTACTCCTTCTCGCCATACTTGTTACATGTTTCCCTATCTTCCTCAGCTTTTTTCGCGGAGTCTCCATCTTGAAAAGCCCCTTAGGGGCCTCAGGAAAGTTTATAATTGAAGGCTTCTTGGAGCCTTCTGGAGGCCTCCTGAGCGCCTTAAGGGGGCCTCTGAGGGCTTCCTCGGGTCACCCTGCTTCCAATCGCGGTCTCACTAAACGACCGCGTCACGATTTGGAATGCTTTGGGAGGCGTTCTGGAAACATTTTGGACCGTCATGGGGCTCTCCTCGGGTCATCTTGGGTCCTGTTGGGCCGTTTGGAGCTCTGTTGGACTGCCTGGGAACCCTTTTGGGCGATTGCAATAGAAACGCTGTTATGATGAACCCTAACGACGGAACACGGTTCCTCTTACACTCTATACGTCAAACTTCGACTTCCCTAGAAAACATAAGAAAACCTAAGACAACTGCAAAACAAAGTAGGGAACACTGAGCCCGTCCCCAACGAAAAGGGTTCCTTCTTCAAGCGGCCCACCGTAGTTGGTTGTGGAGCGTTTTCCGAGCCTCCTGGGTGGTCTCGGACGCCTGGAAGACCGAAGAACAGAGCATTCCCCAATTCACGCAAAACCAGTGGGAAATCAATGTTTTGCTATGTATCGAAAGCTTCTTCACCGATCTGGGCCCGGTGCCTTGGCCCAGCAGGGAGGGACTTCCAGGACCCCCCCAGAAAGCCCGGGAGGGCCTTCTGCACGGGCGTCCTCGGGAGCCCCAGGGGCCACTGATCCTGGAGGTACTGTTTGTTTTTGTTTTGGGTGGGCGGCGGGTTTCCCCATCCCCCTGAAAGGCAAATGTAGAACAGGGCAATTCTACATTTACATCTATATATATATATATATATATACTAGTACAAATTCACACATAAATAATGCGAGAGACACAGAGAGAGAGAGACAGAGACAGAGACAGAGAGAGAGAGAGAAAGAGAAAACGAATTATCAACTAAACAAAGAGAACGGGAACGAGGAAGAGAGAGAGAGAGAGAGAGAGAAAAAGAGAGAGAGAGAGAGAGACAGAGAGGATATATATATAGACAGGAGGAAGAGGACATGGAGGAGGAGGGGGAGGACAGAGGAGCGAGGAGGGAGAAGAGAAAGAGAAGAGGGACGGTGGAGGAGGGAGTGCGCAGGAGCAGAGCGGAGGAGGACGGCCGCTCCGCTGGGGCCCTTGCTTACCCCGCGCTCCGAGGCCACAAGGCACCCGAGGATCCGCCGGCTCCCGGCCCCGGTAACTGGCCCTGGTACCCCGGCCTGCACCGGAGCGTGACGACGTCCTGGCGCCCAGGGGAAGCACTCGGGGGCAAGATCGAGCATCATCGAATCGCAGAACCGAAAACCACGACGAGATTTTTGTTCATTATGTTCGGCCTCCGGGGGCCCTTGCCGGGCCCCACGACCGTCAAGAAACGACGCAGGATGAAAAACAGGTCCCGGGAAAAGGGTCCAAACATCTGGGGGTAGACGTTGTGAAAAATCACGACGTCGGGGGTCTGGGAAATCGGATCGGATCAGGACTTGAGTCGAACCGGGCCGCATGAAACATGAAAGGGATCGGGTCGAAATCGCCAGCTTCTTAGCAGAAGGCGCCAGCCTCTCAGCGCCCAGAGAAGACGAAGCCCTGGGCAAATAGAATAGGCAGGAACATGAGGAGCATAAACTCTCGCGCTCTGGACCTCACACCCAAACGAAGAGCTGATGGCAGCGATCGGCCCAGTCCAGCTGGCAACAGCTACAGGCTTAGGGCAACAAGATCTGTACAAATCTGCTGCTCCTGGCCAGGCCCATCCTGGGCCCAGGAGCGGTGTACAGGCCCCCCCTGGCTTGGCCAGGGAGGCATACACACCGCTCCTGGGCCAGGATGGGCCTAGCCAGGAGCAGTGGGCATGCATAGATCTCGTCGCCCGAGATCTGTTGCACGGTCTTGACCCGTTCTTTGGGGGGGAGGGCATCTTCCCGACGCAGCTGCGCTTTCGGGAAGGGACCTTCGGGCAGGGATTGCCCGAAACAGTGCTTTTCGTTTTCGTTTTATGTTCGTTCCCCCCTGTTGAACGTTGTGTCTTCAGCCCGCCTTGGCCGCACAACGTAATCGAAACGAAAACGGCCCACGAACACGTGAACGTTTTCTTGTTCGGCGTTTCTACATTTGGCGGAAGGTAGGGAGGAAGAGGGGGGGTCTGGCTCAAGACCTCTGCTAGATGCGACTGCTTGCAACAGTGCGTCCGATGGGGGAGATCCCACCTGCTTGAAACAGGCTCCCAAAATAGCCAAGATCTACTTCAGGGGGGGGAAAGAAGAGGTGAGAGGGCCCGCGCCGATCGGCAAAACAATGAATTACCCTGCGACGTACCTAACCCATTTGCATCGAATGGAAAGAGACGTGGCCAATATTGGCAGGAACGTCGACGGTAAAGGCGCGGCGAGTTGTTGTACAAGCTGCATGTGATGCGCGCGCGTTGCACGACTCACAGGACAGCGAGGGGCCCCAAACTTGAAGAACATCGGGGGCGGGAACGACGGGCAGGAAAATTACGGAACCATGGGGGCGGGGAGCCATCGCGGCAGCAGCAGCATTGAGAAAGCGACAGGGGGTGCGAGCAGCAAGCGGTCTAATCTCAATATGCGGTGGGTACCCCCTATGCTGGCCCCCCTGCAGCCCTCGAAAGTGGCGACGGCTTCGCAGATCGCAGCCCCCTAAGGATGGCGGAGACTAACCTGAATCTGCGGCGAGTACCCACTATGCGGCCCCCCCCTGCAGCCCTCGAAAGTGGCGACAGTTTCACACATCGCAGCCCACCAGGGATGGCGAGGTCTAATCTGAGTCTGCGGCGAGTACACTTGATGCTGGCCCACCCAGCAGCCCTCGAAAGTGGCGACGGCTTCGCAGATCGCAGTCCCCTAGAGATGGCGGATTCTAACCTGAATCCGCGGCGAGCGCCCACTACGCTGGCCCCACAGCAGCCCTCGAAAGTGGCGACAGTTATAAAAATCGCAGCCTCCCACAGATTGCAAGGACTAATCCGAACCTGCGGCGAGTACCCACTGTGCTGGCACCCCCGCCAGCGGCCCTCGAAAGTGGCGACGGTTTCGCAGATCGCAGCCCCCCAGGCAAGCCACCTGGCGCACAGGAGAGGAGATGAGAAGGGAGGCGGGGAGGAGGACGGAGACCGCAGCGCCACGTTCAAAACGAGAACCCAACGCAGGAGGGCTGGGAATGAGAAGCCGACGACCTCGTCGGAGCGCTGCTCAGGCCGACCCCTGCCTTCGGGGGGTGTGCCCTCGGAGTGCCGCACTCGGACGAAGGGGGCCCGGTTGGGTCCACGGCGGCTCGCCCGCCTGGCCCGCGTCCGCACGAAAACGGTGTCCGGACCACTGCCTCGGGCCCACCTGGACCTCGTCCCCCCTCTTCCACCATTGCACAATAGGAATGCTACGCTCCTCTCTCCCCTGGCGGCGTCCGGGAAATGTCAACCAGTCTCGAATTGATCCCTGTCCCTAAGATGGGCGAGGAAAAACTGGGGACAATCCGAGGGATGTGCCCTCGTAAACTGGGGGAATCCTTAAGATCGGCATCGAGGTGAGGTGATACCAAACACAGGGAGAGGGACATGTTCCAAAATGGTGAATTGCTCGGCCCCCCTCTGCGTACCGTGTTTTACACAGGATTTACGGGAAACGGGTTTTCGATTGGATTTGTGTTCAAAATGCTGATCTCGCTGAAGCGCTGGCCTCATTTTCGGGCTACCGCTCGTTCCGAATCGTGCTCCCGCTGCAACGCTGGTCTAATTTCCGCGCTTCCACTCGTTCCGAATCGTGCTCTCGCTGCAGCGCTGGCGTCATTAATTCCAGCGCCATGCCGCAGCATGGTTTTCGTTCCTTTCAAATAGATAGGATCCAAAATCTAGAAAATGGCCACCCGAAAAAAAAACATCAGAAGTGATTGCACGTCCGGTGTCGTTTCGTTGTTGTTTTGGGCCGCAGACCCCACGACTTTGGGGCGTCTCCACGCCATGCTATGTCGTGATACGCGTTGATCTTCAACGCCATGCTATGCCATGTAATGCTATGCCATGCTACAACATCCGACTGTGCGAATGGAAAGGGGATATCCGCCATGGTAACGGATGGGAGGGAGTGGTAGGACGTCAGATGTGACGCGAGCGCACCTGGCTTGTCCCCTTCCCCTCCCCCTCTTCCTCCCCCTCCTCCTCCCCCTCCTCCCCGCCTCCTCCTCCCCCTCCTTCTCCCCCTCCTCCTCCCCATCCGTCTGCCTGCCTATTCATCCCTCTCCTCCTCCTCCCCCTCCCCCTCCTCCTCCCTGCCTCCCCCTCCTCCTCCTCCTCCTCCTCCTCCTCCGCCTCGGCCAGAAGAGGGCGAAAAACGAAATTGCACAAGGGACGACCGCCGTTGTCTAGACTGGCCCCTTTTCCGAGCGATGTGAACACAGGCGCAAGAACCAGATGAGCCTGGCCAGGATCGGTGAGATGAATGATCGGCGACTCCCGATGATTCACAATATTGGTCCCTCTCCAAGCCTCTGGATAGCTCCCGTTGACCGCTTCTACATCTACGTCGTGAACCTAAGCCAGCACATCAAGTCCGTCGCACGTGCGCAACAAGAAGAACAACCTCTTCACGGATAAAGCCTCCCGCGCAGCCCTTACATTGACCCGAGTGCGCCCGCTCGCAGGCCGGGATCAACGTCGCGACGAACCACAAGAGGCGCGGCGGGACCCCTCCCGAAACACTTAAAACGGCTGGACTCACTGTGCCTGGAGCCATCCGCGGGGGGCGGGCTGGGCGGCATCCTGCTCGGACTCCTCGAACACGTGCAGGGTCTCGTCTACCTCCATGGTGTCCCTCCACGAGTCGGGCAAAGTCTCGTCCAGGAAGGAGCTCAGGTCCTGGCACGGAACATCCATGAGAAGCCCCCAAAGCTGCCAGCCGACTCCTGCCTGACGCGGAATGCCTCGCAACGGAACATGCACAATCGCGAATGGTAGCCAGCGCAGACGTGGACCCCACACAAGAGGCTCGTGCACTGTCGATGTGCAACCCATGTGATGCCGGGCGTGGATGGTACAAAAGATGCGGTTCAATTGATGTATGCAGTGTAATGCTTGTGCGATGTCATGTCATTTATGGATGCAGCCCAAGTGGTGCAACATGGAAGTGATGCCGACTGTGCGGTGCAGTCTAATATGCGAGGCACAATACACGCGGTGGAAAATACGTCGCGCAATCTACTATGTGCAACCTACGACGAGATGCAACATGGATTGCGCCCTGCGTGTGTATCCATCCTCGTAGTTTCCCGATCCCGTCTCTCTCTCTCTCTCTTCCGCTCTCTCATTCTCTTTCTCTCTCTCTCTCTATCTCGGTCCCTCTCGCTCTCTTTCCCTATTTCGTTCATTTCCGGTCAATGAAGCGATCTTCTGCTTAGCCCCAAAGCATTGCAACTTCTACCTTCCACGCCCGAACACCACCCAACCGTATTTGTTAATTGGCAGTTGGGGCTTCAGGCCGCAGTTCAAACTCACGAATCACAATCTTACCCGCCCACTGTACAACAACACATGTATTCTGGCATCGGGAATTGTAGTTGTGGGCTCCCAAACACAACTTCGCATATTAAAGCACAAGGTGTTCTGCAGCACGTATTGCAGAGCCGTGTCTTCATGTAGAAGATTGGGCCCCCGATCTCCCAAACACAATGTCACACGTGAGTGCACCTCTTGTTTGGCACCTCCGCCACCGAATCCGAGGATTACATTGAGACAGATGAGATTCCGAGTAAAGTTTCACGAAGCCTGTTGGCCCGACTTCTACAACATATGGTGTCTGTTGGAAGCCTGATGTAAATGCGCGGCCACCGTATGCCCAGTTTGGACAGCCAGGCGTCCTTGGTACTCTAGATCGCAAGTGTCTAAACGAGAACACCCGCTGTTGGACCTCGTCCACTGCATGCGCCCTGTAGATACATAACAACAGGTTTGGATTGCAGGTGCCACGAATCTAAAGGGATTGTATGTGCTATGCCTTGGGTTCCCCAATGCAATTCGGCAGCCCAAACGGAGCCCACTGTGGCCGCGCAATTACGCCAGGCTCCCCAAACCACATAGAACTTAGATCCTCCCAACTGACAACACAAGGCGTATTGAAAGAGTTCAGTCAACATTGCAATGTGAACAATGACATCGTGAGGTGTGGCGACGCAGGTGCGAACATGTGGCTTCCCATGTGCAACTGCGTTTTGGGGGCTACTACAGGTAACATCGCAATCCTCTGTCTGATAGGAGGCAAGGGGCCGTGCGTGCTCAACGTGAGGTTGCGGCTTGGAGCTACTCAATTCCGTTTCCAGAAAGTAAGAGAATACAGCGTTTTTGCTACACAGTAAACGAAACATACTGAGCTTTGACACCTTACCTGTGTTTCTGGAGATCAAAATGGAAGTCAGTTCAAACACAGTAGGGCCCATTGGGCTCTGGAGTCTGCTCCAGTTCTCCTTCCCCCCTACCTCTCCTCTCCTCCTCCTCCTCCTCCTCCTTCCCATCCTCCTCATCCTTCTCTCTCCACCTCCTCCTCATTAATCGGATTTCTGGGTTTGAACCACAGCCAAACAACATCCCAATAGGAATGGGGAACGCCCCAGGTTGAAGGAGTGTCTGTGTGACATGAACAGCATACACATTGAACTCCAATAGAGATGGAGCTGCCACAAAATCAACAATACACCTATGTGATTTGAGCGGGGCCCCTGAGGAGTGTAGCAAACCCTGATGTCATGGAAATCTAATAGAATCGGACTCCCGTAAAGACTTGATACGGCTTTAGACCGAGATGATTCCTCCTCGTTGACTCTCGTCCCCACTCTTTGTCCTGTTCCTCTCTCCTTTTCCTACTCCTCCTCCTCTTCCTCCTCTCCCTCCTTATCCAAAAAATTGATTTGGGTGTTAACTTTCGTCCAAACAAGATTCTAACGGAAACGGAGGAGGCCCCAGATTCAGAGTGCTCCGATTGAGAAAAAACAAAATAAATCGTATGTTTTATCGAGCAGGCCCCAGGCCAAACAAATATTCGGTTTGTGATTTGAAAGCGGCCCAGATCGTAGTTCAACCGGGATACGAAGTTCCCCCGACATCATGAGATTCGATTGTATTGGGGTGGTAGTTAAAACGCATTCCGATATAGGACTTGAACCTGCTTCAGCCCTAGACGATGCCTCCTCATCATCCATCCTCCCTTCTCTTAACTTGTGTCCTCTCTCCGCATCCTCATCCAAATAATGTTTCTGGTATATGAATCATCCAAAAGGTTCCTCTCGGAATGGGGCAAGCCTCAGATCCAGAAGGTTCCTATTGAATGTGGAAATCATTTGAACTGAATTCTAACTGTGCATGTGTGTATAGAAATACATACAGGCATACATACAAACAAGTCTAAACAGAGCAAAAAGGCCAGTCATCGATATGGAGATGGTGGCCGGTTTTCCCCGGGCGACCTCACATCTCGCAGCGGAAGTCCACACTTGGAGCCTGCACGTCGTCGCAGGGAAGGCAACGAAAAGATCGGCCCGAGAACCAACCCGACGTCCTTGCAGCCCACCGCCTTGCACTGCGGATTCTGGCTCGGCCCCTGGAATCTCCACTCGCCGTCCTGCTCGCCTTGGGCGGGTCGCCGAGGGAAGCGAGCGGGGAGCAGACGCCGATGGAAGCACCAGCCCTGGGGGCTGCAGGGCCTCTCCCCTTCCCCCTGCGATCCATCTTCCGCAGTGACCCAGCGTGGACCTGCAAGCCAAAGTGGACCCCGCACAATCAATTACTGCACGGTGATTGTAGAAGCTGTGCGCTGCAGCGTGCACGTGCAGATCCTTCACACGGACGGGCGGTACGGACGCAAAGACCTTGGCCGCCCACATTGGCATGCTCGAGGCGGCGGGCTGCCAACCCCCCAGGGACGCAAGGGCATTTAACCCACCCCCGTCCTTGCCGAATGGGCGTCGGGAACAAGCGCCCGCACAACGCAAGGACGCAGGGGTACCCTCGGAAGCCGCGCGCCCCTGCGGACACGGCGCCGCAGATCAACCTGCCCGGGTGGGCGACGCAGCGCATGCTGCGGAGGCAGGGGCGCGCAAGGCCCCCCCCTCCTGCACTTTCCGCGCCCCCGGGGGCCCCTCTCCCTGAGGGCGACGCACCACATGCTGCGGTGGCAAGAACGCGCAAGGGCCGGAGACAGATCATTAGCACCCAGAACTCCGACAGGATGCCTCCAATGCGCTGGCCAGGGTACGGCATCTGCCTCCAGAGGACCAAGCCAAGACTGGCCAGCCGTCGTGACCTCTCCGAGGCGCCAGGACGTCTGGGGATGTGGGGGCGTGGGGACGCGTGAGGGGGCTCGATGCGGAGACTGGCTCACGGGGGAAACGTCGAGCTGCAATATGCGACGACCAATGGTCGTTTGGGGGCCGATGCATCCCCCCCGAGCCAATCCCGCCCCCAAGCGTTGCCCCTTGGTTGTCGGGTCATGACTCCGCTCTCCAGTGACCGTTCGGGGCGATCCTGGCACCCCAACATCGCTCTCGGCGAGGCTTGACTGCTGGATAGCATCCTGAGGCTGCAAGACCGCCGAGAGACCGCGAACCGATCCCCATCTGTGAGTCTCTTCCCCACCGAACGTTGCTCCTGAGCGGATCCCCCCGAAAGTTGCAACGTTGCTCCTGATCGGGGATTGCAAAAGGTGCCCGCGGCCCAAAGTGCCCCCGGCTTTTCGGTTTGTGTTTGAGCCCCTGGGGCCCTCTGGGCCTCGCAAAAGGTGCTCTCTAGAGGCCGTGTGGGGCCTCCTTGGAAATCCTGGGGGCAACCTGGGCCGGGGGCACTTCCACTAGCAACACCCGGCCTGAGGGGGGGGTCCCCGAAAGAGGGGAGGAGGAGGAGGAGGAGGAGGAGGAGCAGGAGGAGGAGGACCAGTGAAAACCCAAGCGTCATGCCCCTACAACGGTTCATTTCCACCAGAAATTGCCTCGTTGGAAGACAACCAAAACATTGTTGTCGGGATTCCAACGCCACATATCAACCTGACTGCTGCGTCTTCGCGATCTTGAATCGTGCAAGAACACCAACCCTGGGACTTCAACACCGCGAATCAACGTAACTGTTGCACCCTCATAACCATCAATCCTTCCAACACAAATTTCTGGTACGCTGATCATGGGAACCCGTGGAACTCCTGCAATGTTTTCAAACAAGTGTGCGCGGCGCTACGGCGAGGACCATATGTTGAAAACCACCCGCCCTCGATCCGTGAAGATCATTTTTCAACGAATGTGCGCGGAACTGAGGCGAGAGCCACATTTTGAAAACCACCCGTCTTCCATCGGTGAAAGTGTTGTCATTTGTTTCAGCTTGAGGGTCATAAATGGTGAGAAGTTTCAGGCGAAACGCCTGGACCGCCCTAAAAACTGGCCTCGGGGTGCGACAGGGAGAAGTTATGTAGAAGGAAAAGCAAGAGGAAGAGGAGGAGAAGGATGAGGAGGAGGAGAAGGAGGGTGAGGAGGGTGAGGATGAGGAGAAGGAGAAGGAGGAGGAAGAGGGGGAGGGGGAGGAGGAGGGGGAGGAGGAGGAGAGGAGGAGGAGGAGGAGCAGGAGGAGGAGGGGGGGGGCGAGCGCCCTCGTCCGCTGAGCCGCCCGCCGCAGACGGCGCGAAACTGGCCGGTGAAGCCGCCCTGCGGGAGTGCGCGGCGGGGCGAAGGCCGAGCCGAACAAAATGGGGGGATAGGGCGAGGGGGGGGTACGAAATCTGCTGCATGCAGCTGGCTTCGGCCCCGCCGCCGGGCCCATGCCTCGATACGTGGGCGCCTCCCGGCGCCGGGAGGCGCTGGGGAAATCAGCTGCGCGAGCTGATGCTCAAACCCCTCCTCTGCTATCCCCTTCTTTCGTCCGGCCCGAGAGGAGGGGGGAGGCGGCGCCTCGTCCCCGGCTGCCCCGCGCGGGGGGGGGAAGTAGGAGGCAACTGCTGGGAGGCCTTCGTCGGGGGGACCAAGGAGGAGTAGGCCCCATGCGGGGGGCCGTTGCGCTGGAGTGGGCCTCGGATTCAGCGGGACTCAGCCAGATTGAGCGGGATTAAGTCGGATGAAGTGGGGTTAAGCCGGATTAAGCCGGATGTCGGACCAGGGCAAAATCAGAATCTTACCTCCCAGGAGTTGCATCCGAAGGGGGAGGGGTGGGTTAGGGGAGATCAATGGAAAATTGTTCGAAGCCCATGAATGACGTTCCTGGGCTAACTGCCCGCCAGTCGGCAGATCTGGGTGGAAGCATGAGGTAGAAAGGCGGGTAAGGCAGATTGGGAACGGGCCCGCCCAAATAATAACACAACAAACCAACAACATATGGATTCTTGAGTTAGGAAGGCGGTTGAAATAGATTGGGATCTGGAAGTCCAGAAAGACCTACTTTTCAACGACCCGTGGATAAAGGGAGATTAGGTTGGGTAAGTGCCCCCTTTCTCGCTTTCCGAATTCTCTTCTACATCGCTTCTCACGACAAATCGCCGAGGACACGCTGTTTGGATTGGGTCGCAGAAGCACGCGAAGCGGCAATAACAGCAGCGCATTGCGCCAGCGAGCACGTGGGGCGTCAGCAAACACCCCGACATGTGGCCCCAAGGGAGTCTAGCAGGGCTTCCAGCAGAAGGGTCGCCTCCGATCTGGGCGTTCCTGCGCCCCGACTGCCAGCCACAACGCCTGGACGCCAGCCCGAGGAAGCTGGTCGTACGCCGCGCGTCGGGTCCTGGCCACTGGCTGCAAAGATCCCGGAGGCGGCTGCGAGCCCATGCGCGTGCCCTTCCCTGCGCGAGGCGCGGCGGCAAAATGATTGCCTTCCGAGCTGCGTCGGGCCAAGAGATTATATGTCACTCCTCGGGGGGCCCACAGGTCCTGGACATGTGCTGATCACTTCGCGACTGCCCCGCTCAGGAGGAGGAGGAGGAGGAGGAGGAGGAGGAGGAGGAGGCGGAGGAGGAGGAGGAGGAGGAGGCGGAGAAGGCGGCCAGCAATCTGTAGTGACAGAGTTTGCCACGAGTTCCTCTAGATCGCTGCCTCGACGGCGCGGCCTCCTGGGCACACATGCGGACCGCCGTCAAAACGGGAGAGAAAACAACTCGACTGCTGATAAACAAAGAAGTGCACCACAGGGCCGCCCCCCCCAAGAGCAGGTGAATAAAACGGGCGTGGAAATCGGGCGTAATGGGGGTCGGAACGCGAGCGCCGCAGACGCAGGCCCGCTCTCCCAGCTCGCGAACCGCCTCCCCTCGGCAATCGTATTCACAATGCCCCTCCTCTCCCGTCCTCGGTGATTCTTGCGAATGGAAAACGGACTAGCGTTCGCTCTGGGGCAACGGGAACGTTGCCGAAAAGAGGGAAGACAGATGGACGGGCAAGATAAGAGATCCCGAACTCCCGGCCTCGCCGAAAAAGTTTGGGTGGCAATTCGTGGGGGCCCCCTAAAACCATATTGTCGGCTCTTGCGAGTCGACGCTGTTCGATACGATTCGACGCTAAGTCGATCCGAATCGATGTTAAATCGGCGCTAATCGATGCTGGCCGGCGCCAAATCGGCGCCGCCCCATCGGCTCCCAAACTGTAATCGACGCTAGTCGGCGCTGAAAACGGAATTGCGAGGGTATACAAGATGCCCAGGGCTTGCTACCGAAAAGCGGTCATGTGATTATGGAAACAGAGTCACGCATGCGCGACTCCACCGCAAAGAGAGTTCAACCCCAAAACGCTACAGCGCAGCACGTGCGATGTGGGCGCTAGGCATCGCTTAGTGACGGGATCTAGAATCTCAACACCCATCCCTGAAGCGTTACACCCAGCCCTCCAACCTACAACCCCTTCTCCTTCTAACGAATTCTTCCTCGCTTGACCACCAGACGCGTCGGTTGGGCGGGGCAGGCGTTTCGCCCGAGACGTCGTCACCATGTATGGTTGAAGCTTGAAGTATCGAACGGTTATGAGGTGACAGGGCGGTTCGTTTCCAAAATTGAGCTCTCGCCCCAACGCCGCAGTCACAGTCGCCTTGAAACATTGCAAAAGTTATCAAAACGGAGTGCGGACCGCTTTCAACATGGAGATATCGCCGTCACTCTGCGCGCACTAATGTTTCCAAAGTTGCAAAACTTCGCAGGATGCTCGCGCCGTCGCGCCGCACGCACATTCGTCCAAAAAGCCTGCCTGCAACCGCTACAAGGACGGAGAGTAATTCCTTTTTCGCAAAGGACGGATAGGAATTCCTTTTTCGCAATGCGGTTATCCCGCTATGGCCTCGCGCGCTCGTCTCATCTGCTTGCAGCAGTATGCAGGACTGGAGGAGGGATCCTTTCCAAAATGGGCCCTCCACCCGACACTAACGCCACAAACACCACATGCACACTGGAGCATCAATTGGCACGTATTGGTGGCCGCCTGGATCTCAAGATGGGGCTCTCGGCCGTACTCTGGTCCAAAAGAATCGCGTCAGTGCACAACCGTGCAACCGGAGTCTTTTTGTTGACGAGCGGACAGCAGGCGCCCCGCGCATCCAGCAGGCGCCCCGCGCATCCGCGGGCGCCCGGGAAGGCGCCGATCAGTCCGGCGCCTTGGGAGCTGCGCGCGCCGCTGCGCAGCGAGGCATGCAAAGTCCGCCGCGCTGCCCCAAGCGAAGCGCAGGCCACCCGGAGCACGGGTGGATGGCAATCCCACCAGCCCTTTAGGGCGTCGGTGGTTTAACGAGTTTCCTCTTCCACCCCTCCTTCTTCCCAATCATCGGCGCTCTTCGTTCGAGCGCCTGGTGTAGGATGGGCTGGTGGGGATACGCGAAGCGTCAAGAATTCCTGCCTCAACATGTGGCTCTCGCATGAGACCCTCTCGCTTCCCCGCCCGTGGCTATGGTTCGACGGACGGGGCGGCGGGGCCCTCGCCGGACATCTCGTGGATCTCCATGGGCTTACCTTGTCGCATCTTTACTTTTGGGGAAGTGCGCAAAAGGGGGATAGGGGAGGGGGGAAGGCGCATTAGAAGGAGGCTGCTTCTTAGAAGGCGCTAGCTTTACATCTGTAGACGAGGCCCGCTCCGTCTAAGGAATAGCGGTGTTTCTCAGAAGCCGTGCCCCCTCCCCCTATCCCCATTTGAGCGTGGCCGATTTCTCTCCGCCAGACGCATACAGTGCGGTTCTCTTGCAACACGGGGCTCTCGCCCCAATGGTAGGCCATGTGGTGCTCGTCCTGCAAGGGTATGGAACAGGAAGACCTGCAGGGAATTATGACGAGGGAGTATCCTCGATGCTTCGTGGGTCTCCTCTGGTCCCCCTTTCTCGGGGGCGTCCAAGCGTCCAAAATGAGGGGGGGTCCAAAAAGAGGGTCCGCAGGTCATGCCCGTAGGCATGCGCGCGGCCCAACGGGGAAGCCAAGCAACGCCCTGAGAGAAGAAGAGGGGGCCATGAGATCCGAGGAGCTACCATGGCCTGGCCATGATGTGTCCCCCCCCAGTCAACACCCCCCTCCTCAACACCACCGACCGCGACCAAACGCAAGAGTGACCCTGGGTAAGAGTCACCTCTGGTGCGCGGCCTTTGGGGGACCGCGGGGGGGGCCAAACACAAGCGCGCAGGACGCCACTATCGCATCGCGCTCGGCGATCCGGATCCGGGGGACCGCCCTGGGCCCGCACCAGAGGCCACTCCGGCGAAAGGTCACTCTGATGTGCAGTCGACGACCCTCCTACACCCACACTTCCCTCCTCCGGACCGGGCGGCGCGCCTGACACCTGTAGTCCAGGACCTTGCCGCCCCCGAACTCCAGCGACTCGTCCAGGGGCTTGGCGTGGCGCACCTGGGGGCAGGCATGGGGAGGAGCACGAGAAGCACGAGGAGGAGGAGGAGGAGGAGGAGGAGGAGGTGGAGGAGGAGGAGGAGGAGGGGTAGGAGGAGGACGAGGAGGAGGAGGAGGAGGAGGAGGAGGAGGAGGAGGAGGAGGAGGAGGAGGAGAGGGAGGAGGAGGAGGAGGAGGAGGAGGGAGGAGGACGAGGAGGAGGAGGAGAAGGAGGAGGAGGAGGAGGAGAAGGAGGAGGTGGAGGAGGAGGAGGTGGAGGAGGAGGAGGAGAGGGAGCAGGAGAAGGAGAAGGAGAAGGAGGAGGAGGAGGGGGAGGAGGAGGAGGAGGAGAGGGAGGCGAGGGCAGGCAGGGTAAAGGAGCACGAGCGGAGGCCCCACAAGAAGGGCGTCGGAGCACGAGTGGGCCTCGGGTGACCACGCCGCCGCCTCGCGGAGGCACCGCCGAGGCATCGGCGACGTAATCGGTGCATCGGCGCCGTCTGTGTGGAGAAATGTGTGCTCCCAGTGTTGAGAAATTATTGTTTGTTGTTGTTGTTGTTGTTGTTCCCTCTCTCTATTTAATGTTATTGTCTTTTGTGTCTCTCTTTCTTTCTCTCTCCTTCTTTCTCTCTCTCTCTCTCTCGCAGGGGAACCTTAATGGGAAATCCTGATTCACAGACCCTCAGTAATGAATCGTTCATGAGGAATCCTGAGTGGACGAGCCTTGGTAAGGAATCCTTCATAAGGATCTTGGTAAGGAATACGTTGCACAAGATCCTTAATAGGAAGTCCCACCAGCGTAGGTGGTCTAGAGAGCTTCCTCTTCCAACCCCCTTCTTCCCCTTCGGAGAAGGGTTTACCCCTCCCCCTTCAAAACGCTCTCAACGAGGAAGCCAACATCATTGAGTTTACTTGGGTTTTGGCCCAGTTTGGGCCTCCTGAGGGTCACCCAAGATGACCCCACAGATGGTCCATAAGGCTCCCAAGGGTGCCCCAAGAGGGCTCAGGAGGTGGCCAGGAGGCCCCAAGAGGCCCCCAAGAAACCCCCAAGATGCCCCCTAAAAGGCTCCCAAGAGACCCGCACGAGGCCACAAGAGGCCCCCCGGAGGCACCCACGACGCTCCAAGAGGCATCGGCGAGAATGCCAACATCACTTTTGTTTACGAAGGTTTTAACCACATGTTGGCCCCCTGGGGGGGCACTGGTTAAGATGACTCCAGAAGCGCCTGGGAGAGCCCAAGATGACCTCCAAGATGGCTCTAGATATCCCGAGATGCCTCGACATGGTTCCCACGATGCTCCAAGATGCCCCTAGACCGCTCCAGGACGGCTCCAAGTGGCCAAAGAGCTCCCCCGGGAGGCCCCGAAGAGGCCAAACTTCTTTCAACCTTCTGGACATCGATGGTTGTGGCTCTCTCGCCTTTTCGCTTCAGATGGCCACCCGAGGCCTCAAGATGATTCCAAAAATGGCCCTCCCAGGGAGGCTCAAGCGAGCCCCAAGACGGCCCCAAGAGCGCTCAAGAGCGCTCCAAGAGCGCCCCAAGAGGCGGCTTGTCGGGCTCCCGAAGGGCAGCGAAAATTAATGCTTGCTTCTTGTTTGATCGATGTCCTCCAAGATGGCTCCAAGAGCGCTCCCAAGGCTCCCGAGACCGCTTCAAGAGAGCCTCAAGAGGCGCCCAGGAGGCGCCCAAGAGGCAAAGGTCCCCAAGAGACACCCAAGAGGCCCCAAGAAGCTCTCCGAGGCACCCAAGACGCTGCAAGAGGCCTCCACTGGGGGACCATTCCTCTGTGTGCTGCCCACTCCCCTGATCGAGGGGCGGCTAGGATTTCGCGTACGGAATCCTTATTCTGGACCCTTTTCGACAGGATTTCTTAGTGAGTGGTCCTTTGTAAAGAATGTATAGCAAGGGGTCCCTATTAAGGAATAAGGGATCCGTTGTGGGGGATCCTTAGTACTTAATCCTTTGTAAGGAGTCCAACATAAGGATTTGTAACACAAAGACATCTACGGGACAACAAGCGAAGCGAAGCGAAGCGAGCCACCATTGCGGACAAATGTCCGGGCCGACCTAGGACCTGCTGGGTAGGCCGTACCCTCCAGAAACCTCATCGATGAGCTGCACGCAATCATGCAAATCAGCAGCGAGACAATCAACAAGTTCGGACGGAAGCGGGGGAAGAGAGGGGGGAATAAGTCCTCGATGTGGAAGTCGGCGTTCTGTCGCTACGTGGTGTGTCTGCATTGCCGTTCGAATGCCGACCAAATGAAAATGTCTTGAGCCGCGCGGATCCAAATAATGTCGTTCGGTTGGCCTGTTGTAGTCGGCGTGGCCGTTGGATGTTGGTCGGGGCTGCCTTGTTGGAAGGACTTGACGATGTCGTCTTCCCATCGCTTTCGCTGTCTGCCTTGCTGTCGTTGCCCGCGTTGGCGTGGATTCTGTGCCGGTTGCCGGTGGAATGCGCGCCACGTCCATCTTGTGGGGTCATGGTTAGCGACCCTTGACACCATGCACAACGATCTGTCTGCGAATCCTTTCCCACGTTGCGACTTGGTCGTGCTGCATGAGCTGCTCAGCACGCCGTGTTGATCGCTGAATGTACTCAACCCAAGGTTCCAGCGTGTCCTCGTTGTCGTCGTCGTTGCTCTCGCTGTGCTGGTCTGTCGCTTGCTGCTGCTCTGTGTGGCTGTCTGCGTCGTCGCTGCTGTTGTTTGGGTTAGGAGCGCCGTCAGGTGCTTCTTTGGTCGTGCCGTCGTCTGTGCCGCCGAGGTCGTTGTGAGGGGTTGTGTTGTGAGTGATTCGTCGCAGCGTCGTGCTGATGATCATGCGGAGCATGTGTCGTTGCGTTCGTCGCAGGTGTTGCTGGAGAGTTTCCGTGAGCGTCCAGGTTTCAGCTCCGTACAGAGCCGTCGGCGTTACTGTGCTGTGAAGGAGCCGAAGCATGTGCGCCAGCGGGTAGTGCTTACTGGTCAGCTCCTGTCTGTGTGTGGCGAATGATGCCCATGCGGCCCTCGTTCTGTGGTGAATCTCTGTCTCCATCGCGTCGTGGAAGCTGATGAGTTGACCGGGATATTTAATACTGCCCTCGTGCGGAAAGATGTCGATGTCCATGCCATCTACGCGCGCCGTGCGCGAGCTCGCCCTGCCGGTCCGTCTCGTCTGGTTGCTCATTATCTTGGTGTTGGACGGGTGCAGCGCGAGTCCGTGCGGCTTCGCTGCACGCACTATGTCTTCCAGCATCGTCGTGAGGCGCGGGAGAGTCTGCAATACTCAGCAATAAAAATTATAACGCTGAAAAACACTAGACAAACTAAGGAGGAAAAAAGGCCACTGCTTACTCCACCTCTTCTCATCCTTCTCCTCCTCCTCCGCCTCCCCCTGGTCCACCTGCCGCCCGTCACTCCTCACCCGTCACCCTTCAGTCCTCCTCCTCCTCCTCCTCCTCCTCCTCCTCCTCCTCTTCCTCCTCCCTCTCCCTTCCTCCTCCCCTCATTGCCCTGCTGCATGGGGGGGGTGGGGGAGGAGGAGGAAAAGGACGGGGGGGAGGAGGAGGCGGAATGGAGGGAAGAGTAGAATGGAGGAGGAGTGGGATGGATGAGTGGAGTGGAGGAGGAGTGGAATGAATGAGTGGTCGTCCTCCTGAGGGATGGAGGAGTGGTCCCGCTCCTGCTCCTCCTGCTTCTACTCCTGTTCCTCCTTCTGCTCCTCCTCCTCCTCCTCCTACTCCTCTTCCTCCTCCTCCTCCTCCTCCTGCTCACCCCATCGCGCCCCGCATTTTACTTTTCACTCCTCCTCCTCCTCCTCCTCCTCCTCCTCCTCCCCCTCCTCCTCCGGAGCGGAAGCAGGAGGACCACTGCTCAACTCCACTCCGCCTCCATGTCACTCCTCTCAATTCCGCTCCCTTCTCCCCCCTACCTTTTTTCTCCTCCTCCTCCTCGTCCTCGTCTTCCTCCTCCTCATCATCCAAGCCGTTCTGGCTCAGCCGGTTGTGGCCTGAGCTTGCAAGCGCGTGCTTCAGAGCGACTCGTGCTTGCGAGCCAACTGGCACCACGAGCTCGACTGGCCCATGGCACCGAGGGGCGATGTGCATGGGGATCGAGCTCCCGAACAGGCACAGGCGCAGAGGAAGTGCACGGGCAAGTGTGGCGGTTGCCCGAACTACATCTCGAGGGTGGAGCGCAAGGCGTGCGGGGCCCGTGGTCCGCCAAATGTACTGGCGGCCCTCAAGGCGTCCGGGTCCATCAGCTTCGGGGCCCCTCTGCGCGGAGAAGGAGGTGACACGGTCAAGCCGCAAGGCAAGGCCAAGGCCAAGCCTCAGAGCCGCGCGCGGGGTGCCCAGTGGCACAGCGCCAAGGACTGGAGCGCCCACTTCAAGACGGAGTCCGTGCATGGGACTGCAAGGGGAAGCCGACCGCTCCATGGCGGACAGGATGACTAGCGACGAGCAGGACGTGGCGCGGGCCGCCGGTGCCCGACCCGCACCTCAAGGAGACAGCCAGGAGTGCACCGCTGCTGGCCCAGCCCTACCCGAGAGCATGATGCTGGCCACGGCGGACACGAACTCGCGGGCCGGGGGTCAGGCCTTCCTGGAAGGGTGCTGCGACAAGATGCTGACCTTCGACGTGGTCGGCCTCCAAGAGCACTGCCTGAAGCACCCTGCGAGGGTGAGATCGGCATCAAGCTGGGCGCGGCGCCCCGGGCAGCAGCTCTTCGGCGCGCCGGCCTTGGAGACAGGCCCAGGGCCGCTTGACAGCTCGGGTGGCGCGGCTGCCCTGACGTCGGTGGCAGCGGCGAGTGAGGAGAGGCCCAAGAAGTGCAGCACGCTGAGCCCCCACAGAGCCCAGGCGGCCAAGCTCCACGCGGGGCTCGGGATCCCGATCTTCGTCTTCTCGGCCTAATTGCATGGCAGCACGCTGAGCCCCCACAGAGCCCAGGCGGCCAAGCTCCACGCGGGGCTCGGGATCCCGATCTTCGTCTTCTCGGCCGAATTGCATGGTAGAAAGCAGCGGGGTCACTGGCGAC